TCCTTTCGATATTAATGATCACGGTTCGCCGGTTGTTCTCTTCTTTTAACACGTTCGCTACGAATACGGTGGTTCTGTTGTTCCACTCATTTGAAAGATGTGCGTTTTCATTTAAAAATAGAAATTCGCAGTTCAAAGTAGTATGCGTGTACATACGTGTGTACTACTGTTCCTACGATAATAGCCGTTATATCTGAAACTATCTTAAGTAATAAATAACGCCACTCGAAGCAGAGCAAATTACCATTAAAAGTGAAAAATTACGATAAGACTAATGCCGATATGTATACGAGCTCGCGGTGGCTCGTATATCGCAGCGAAAGTGTTAATCAACGTAAAGGCGAACCATCTCACTACTGTAGCTTCGAACGATTCTCTCGCAATTGCATTCTATTCATTCCCGTGTTCTTACAACCTGTAATGTGCCATTTTCTCGTCGCAACCCATATAACAAAAAGAACGTATCCAAGCATATATCACTCTGGAAAGAAAGGAAAGAAAAGCATTGAAAGAGAAACAGGTTACTTCGTTTTATTACAATCCGAAATGTATCACAGTATTAAAAGGAACTGAAAATAGTTCTTAGTTTTGGAATAATAAACACTTGTGTTGTGTTTACGTCAAAGATAATCTAAAAACGCATAGCATCTTATCGGAATGATCCGATGATAGAAAGGCTTGTTTTACGATTACTCATCGTTTAGTTTCGTTAATCTATCGAACCTTTACGGCACAGTTGCCGTCGAAATTCGTAGAACGAAATCAAGCCAAGATTCGAAAGGATGCAAAAATGCGGATCATCCATTCGACGAATCGATGACTCATCCATCGACTGGGGCTTCGAGAAATACCGAATCCATATTCATGAGACCTCTTTTTTGTTCACCCTCCAGCTGGCTCCAAAACAGCCGGTAAACTTATGGCGTTCTAGAGTTTTAGTTGCGTGTAAGCCTGCGCACACGCATGCGCAAATACAAAGTAACGCGCAACCCGATAGTAAAAAATAATGGTACATACGCGCTTTCTTTCGACATCTGTCAACCGGCGAAATTCAAGGGAGAACGTAGAAACTACATTAGCGCACCGTGTGCAACGATGTCTACGATTACACAATGCTTAGAGAAGTCTTTCAACGTGAACGTTTAACGAGACTGGACGCCCACGATTTGAAATCCTCTTAATGGTGGTAATAAGATCGAATCGAGAAAAGTCGATTGCGCGCAAGTCAAATTTCAACGAAAAAGTCAGTGATTTAATAGGAGAAGCAGGTTTTTCGAGTCAGTCAGATAAAAAAATCTGGATAGGTATTTGTTTTCGTTTTAATATCTTCACAATTGCTTTCGTTGCAGTTCCCCAGTGCGAACAAAGTGCATCGAAATAAAGCCGGAAGTACAATGGATTCGGTAGACTCGTCGGTTTCACGCAGTCGGAACCGTTGTAATCGGATTGTTTAACGTGTGTTCAGTAGGCTGGCTGCTCGTGAAAAACGTAGACGCAGGAAACGTGTGAAGCGTTTAAATCCCAATCGACTCGGATGTGTTCAATTACAAACTGGGTCTGAATTGTTCGCAGTCGATAACTGAGTAGGCATCGCCGACGAATCGTTTAAATCTCGCCAGGCCACGTCATTCGATTTCGTGGAAGATGGAATTTGTTCACGGGATGGTAGGAATAACTTAGAATGTGAATAAAATGACTAGTAGGCTATAACGAGTCCGTATCTAAGTATGTACCGGGTGGCGCCCAAAGAAACGTTCATATACTAATCGTAAGTATGTAAGTATATGTTACTTTAAAAGCATCAAATCTAATAAATCTATCCATTTATCAAATTAACACATTTACCGTAACATATACATACGATAAAAGAATTATATTGATTCAAGTAAAAGCAACGGTAAGTTTTTGATGTTTCACGCTTACACGTGTCTTATCTACATATATAATATTATTCAATTATATTTATGATATCCAGATGTAGGTACACGTATAATTTCTGAACGTTTCGAAACGAACTTCTCTCCTCGTTTGTCTGTTTGTTTGTTTGTTACGTTTATTGCCAGCAGCATCATTATCAGGAGTTCCTTCGCACCACCGGGTACTGAACAAAACGGATTTAGAGCTTTTGTAAATGTTGATCCATTGGACGCGGCTACGCGCACCGATGATGACATATGTATATTACATAAGGCGCGGAAATTCTATCTAAGCGGATCACAGTTACTTCCGCTTGGCCACCTTTTCAATCTCCCTTAAGTATAACCTCCCCTAACCCTCGATCGCACACTTACAAACTACTGGTCGATTTTTTAATGAGATTTTCCGCGATACGCGAGGAGCACAGACAAAGCAAACAGGCCCCAAATTGATCAAAGTGTCCTATCAAATCGACAAATGAATCTTAATGCGTTCGATTTATAGGACAGTTCTTATTTAAATAAATATTAGTTGATTAATCGTTTACAAAACACCGTTTTTCTATTTCTGATTACACTCGTGAATAGTCCCTTGGTCTGCTGCTTCAGTTCTATTATAATGATCTTTTTACTTATTTTATATGATATAATATGTTTACAAATACAAATTTTTTGTTCAAAAGACAATTATGTAATTTGAAGAGAGACAGGAAAAGATTATACCTATCTTTGTTTCATTCTTAGAATTTATGCAGCAATCCAAGCGATTATCAAAAACGCAAAATCATCGATAATCGTAAATAAAAAGAAATTATAGCACAAAGATCTTCCGAAGATTATAATCGAAAAAAAATATTTCCATATCACTGATAATACCTGATAATGGTTCGTGCTGTGGTGCAGATTCGAACGACTTCCAATAGTTCTAGATCCTCCTTGATTATCCGCGAATAATACTAATTTTCAGTATGCGCCGCAATTACATGGCTAATTACGTGAAAAGATATTAATAAAAAAAGAAAAACGAATGTTAGTCCTCTCTTTCCTTAATGCCGTACACTTTAGTGCGCATGCGCATGCGCGTGCGCGCGTACCATACAAGTTCAGTAACATTTAACATTTAACATTTAACATTTAACACAGTTGATTAAGCAGTGAATATAGAGATTTATTTTAAATTTCTGCTACCTTTTAATTTGATATATACTTTGAAAAATGTGAATCAAGTACAATTAAGAATTTGATCCGAAAAAAGAAAGTGATTCGACTTACAATTAGATTAGAGGTGAATCAACTCTGTTAGTATTATCTCCGAGTTATGCGTTTACGTGCACGTTTTGTTTCGTTTTGCATCATATCATTTCCGCATGCTCGACGATTTTTTTATTCGTCAAAATAAAGTGAAGTGGAATAAGAAGAAAGCATAAGCAAAGAGTTTTGAGAATTGCAACGAGTCGAAACAAAAACGTTAGAGGAAAAATGAAATTGCGATATCAACGAAGGGTACGCGTTCGAGTTTACTGATAGCAATGTTTCAAGGATCAATGCTCGTCACTGGTACATCAATGTCGGAATGAGTCATACGACGTGAACGAATTGTAATAGTACAATTACCGTTGAAGCCTCGCGAGTAAATTTTAGTTTGTATTGCGGCTCGCAATCGCATTGAGATCGTACGCACGGTACGTTGTCCTCTAGCAACGGGATCGAAAGACTGTTTCCAGTTAATATAAACAAACGGATGTCCGGTTCAAGGCTACCTTTTAAATGCACCGTCATATAACACTTTCATTTACAGGCAAAATTTCCCAAGAGTGTTTCCCTCAGATTTTAATAAGCTTTTGCATATTAATACATTCGTGCAAGGCGCCTAAGGAAGAAAAGACCGCTCGAGACTTTTCGGCGAGTCTCGGGGAAGATCGTCAAACATCGTGATATAGAACATCTTCTAAAATGTCAAATATGTATTAATAAATGCATGTTTCTTTGTATAATTAACAATTATATTATTTCAGACTTTAGAAAATGTCAACGTGAAATTATTAACATGTAAAAGTTGGTGCAAAAATTTCAAGGGGCATGATACATACTAACATTAATTTTAATTCTTTCATAGGTTTTCGAATATTAAGGGAAAGAAAGAACGTTCATTCAGGTGTTCGCCCGATACTTTATACGTTCTATACACCAAACGACAATGCTTATTACTCGAACGAACAAGGTAAGCTCGAGGACGGTATTCAATTATGTAATGATAGTAAACGAGACTCGAGGTTTGATTCGTTCTTACGTGTACGGATTGATCGTATATACCGTGGACGTTTGCGTGAGCACGTAATCGTATGCGGACAGATATGACCGATACGCAGCCGATATATGTATATGTACGTATGTCTTTTTTATTTCGTACCTTATGGAATCATTTTGTTTCAAAGAAATAAGAGATAAAAGACATTTCTTTAAAAAATCTTTCGTGGAAATGTAACATGAAACAGTGAAACAGTGAAACAGTGAAAAATGATAAATGAAGAAGACTCATCTTTATGATAGTCATCGCTTACACTTTACTCGATGACTAAATTCGTTTTATCTACTTTCCTTTTGAAGAATTCGTTCCGAGACAGTCACGGCATGAGTCAGTTTATTATGTATCGTATTAATTCCTTAATCTAAAACACGTCACCAATAAGATCGATTAACAGCGTAAAACGTTTCTTGAGAAAAAGGAAAGTTTATTGAATATTTTACGTAACTGCTACATACACTTATACGAATGCTACATACCGCACAATGCAGTTCAGTATAATATGAACATTGTCGCGCACACGCCCATAAATCGAATTTCCGATATCGCTTTATTACCTTTAGATTTGGTTTACATGGAACACGCGAGGCGTTCTCAACCGTGGGAATCAAATTTCCGATTGTTTTATTAACTCCTATCGACGTTATTAACATTCAGTCCGATAAAAAATCTTTTCTCCAGTTTATTGTAATTTTCACTCTTCTTCTTTTTTCTTTTCTGACCTATTTATTTCTTAATTACCACCTTTTCTAATATACTTAATTTTTTTTCATTTTCAGAGTAGAAGATCTGAGGGAAACGAAACGAAGACTGGAACAGGATTTGAACCTACGACACCTTTGCCATTATAACCAAGCCCTCTATGAGACTTCGCTACGGAAATACCTATCAATGGAATTTTATTTTTTCTCTACTTCCTCATTCTAATCTCTTACTTTCTGATAGAAGACATTTTTCTGAGTACTAGAAAAAATTTTCACTAAACAAAGAAAGGGATATCGTTTCTTTTATTCGTTTGCTCGGCTCGATAGATATTATATTTATAACTAAAAAGTAAACGCGATAGAAAACGGGGCGATGTTACGTAAGGAAACACAATATGTAAACCGTGTATCGATAGATCGACATTAGCAATCGCGTTTGGTAACGTTCGATTCACGTGGAAACGGAAACCGATACAAATTTGATAAATGGATTAAACGCGTATCATTGTTATCGCTCGAAATGTTTAATCGAACTCACAAATCACTGTAAAAAGAAAACTCACTGCGTTCATTTTCTCGAAGGTGATTCTAGAAATATATATATATATATATTTTTTCCTTTTATTTAAATCGGCACACGGAGGTATCTGTTTTATAGTAAATTTTAATCGCATCTAAGAACACGCCACGACAATTTCAAAGAGCGTCCTTTGAGCGTCGCAAAGCAATCTTCCCGAGATTTCTCGATATTGTCCTGGTTAAACGTTTTGCTTCCTCTCATTGAAACGTTCTTAATCTTTCCGCTTTATTTTTAGAACCTCTAAGAACTGCACTTCACTCGATAATTTCCTTCCTCTATTTCTGAACTGTTTTTCCCTTTCATTTTCTTCCCATTCAATTATCATTCGCCAAGATAATTTATTATTTTAACCTATGACTTTATACGTATACGTATGTATTTAAAAACCTCTTTCCTTGTTTACACTTTCATGGGGGTAGAGATTTCCAGTAACGAACAATAAAAATAAATTTTCGCGCCCTTTCTACTGCAGGTTCTCGATCAATTCGATGTATCGATCGCACGTGACTCGAAAATGTCGTGCGACCAATGAAAATCAAGAGAATCGCGAACGACATAAATAATGGTGGCGTGATAGCAGTTCTTTCGATGAATCACAACGAATCGGGTAGACAAGCAATATTCCTTGTTTTATCGCGAAATATACTCTATAAAAAACGAGTATTCACGGTCCAATCCATGGGGAAAAAGTTCAACCATTGCAATTGCTCCATCAATCGACGTGAGAATTAATTGCACTCGATGTAGGTATTGAGCAGAATTCGTGTGTACTAATTGTAAGTAGAAATCGTAATATATTTAAATAGAAAAAAAAAAGTTGCTACAAAAAATATATTTCGAAAAATTTTGACATTATGCACGACTCCTAAGATTAAAAAATACATATTTATATACATGTTTATATGTATAATGGAACATTCGATTGGAATGCAAGCCCTAAAACCGTTATAGACAAATGCGGCAAAACATTAAAAATTGCTCGATGTAATTGTCGCTTAATTAAACGTGTTTTCTATTTGTTGAAATCCGATGTGCGATAGTGGGTTAAGCAGTTATCGGCCACATAGCGGTATACGACAGTATAAATATCACAATTAATTGACCACTTGACTGATGAAAGTGTCAGGGTTCAAAAGCTTTAGATTCACTTTTGTCGTTAAGCGTCTCCGCTTAACGCTTGGCTCGTTGTACAAAAAACTTGCAGAATCTGCAATTTCTCACCGAGCCTGATAACATTTCTCGCGATGCTAGATAGGCTTCTATCTACGTATCAACGCAAATTCGAAAAAATAGCTACCCTTTAGATGTCTTCTAACCATCGTAAAGCTTTGTGAACTCTCTAACAATATATCTTTCAAGTAACTTGTTCGTCAGGGTAAACTAATCTCATATCGTATAAAACAAAGTAAAAAATTAATATAAACCCGCCTTACAGAGCGTCATTATTAGGTATGCTCGATACCGCGCTAACCTTCAACTCTTCGTTCTCATAACCTCTGGCTATACGTTCAATTATAAAAAGGTATTAATATTGCTGAAGTTAATTAGCAAACTTGAAAGTTTAAAAAAAAAACAAAAACAAAAAAAAAAGAAAAGAATGATTGATATTTCCATGTTACTGGTACGAACAATAACGACGATGTTTACCACACGAGAGGTTAGCTTCAGAGTTCAACATTCATAAGATTTGTCACGGTTGTTAAGCATCTTAAGGAACAATTCAAAACCGAATACGTATTATCATAAAAAAAGTTGACACTTATTGTCTTTTCCGTTCTCATTTTCTTTTGTTACCTAATAACATGAATCATGGAAAAATAGAAACGCGGAATGATAAACCTTGGCATAATGACTTGGCTGCATATTTTCTAATCAGGTTTGCTTCAAATATCAAAACGTACTTGACGGTTCATAAAACAAAAATGGCAGATTTTTAAAGTTACCGCTTGCTAAGCACGGTAATTGGTTCTAATGAACGGAGAACAAAGAGTTGATAGTTTTGGTTAGAAAAGGCGCAACAATCGCGATCGTCGCGACACACAAGGAATGTAGAAAAACAAGGAACCATTTGTTTTCTGGACATACTATCGCGTTAAAAAAGGTCTGCATCAAATTTCTACCAAATCTTGAGATTATTGAACTTTTCTGAACTTAAGAATGAAATAAATGCATGGATCTTGATGCGGAAGAGATTAAATTACTTAGGATAACGTTATTCTGGTAAGCACATTGTTTTACAATAAGTATAGCTAGTAGGAAAACAATTGATTACTCAAGTTTGCCGTCTCATCGATTTCCTTTGATTTCATGATTTCTTGTGACGATAATAATAATAATAATAATAATAATAATAATAATAAAAAAGATAATATTATATAAATGATTGGTTAAGATACAAAATCTTGCTTAAGTAAATGTAAATTTATGACACGGTTAATCTTAGAGTTAAAAATTGAGTTTTTTCTCAATGTGAAGTATCGCAAAATTTAACTAACAGTAAGTACCCGTTATCTTCACGCTAGTTGACCGAATGTTTTTTTAAATGACTACACATGCGTCATCCGTAATGGGTTAATTAACCGTTTTACTAACGCACCTATGCACTCTCCGATTCCACTTTCTCTTATTTTACCGACGTATATCTAACGAAAGAAACTATGCGGTGCCAACAAAAATACTACCGCCATTTAAAATTAGCAATTTCAACAGCAACAGAATCTCGAATGATTCTAATAAATTTCAATAATAGACAAAGGGATAAATAAAATATTAACATTGACAGTATCAATATCACATATGAAAATAAAATAACAAGCATGTATTTTGAGAACAAATTATTAGTACTACGTCAACAAGATAATTAAGTTAATCTCGGTACCCTTACAATAGTGATTTCTCATAGGAATCATTTCATTAGAACACATCAATAATTTACCGCGGGGTATGCTACCATTAATGACTCATTTGACCTTGTTTCTCGCGAGGGCCTTCAACAAAATTTACAAAAAGTTTGATTTCACTTATTATTTTCTAACGTAACTAGAAAATTTTTTATAATATTGCACAAATAGTGAGCGTATCGTGAGATGGCGGAGATGATATGGCGAGTAATTAAAAATTTATTTTCGCGCGCACGTGCGTAGATACGTGTCGCACGATCATTGTATTTACGTAAACGCGTACTTGTGTAGGTGCGCGCGCACGCGAGCATCCCCTGTTTTTATTATACGGTGTGCGTATACGGCGTGTATTATTTTTTTTTTTACTCATCTAACGTAATACATCTATAATAAGTAGTATATGCGTAATAGCATAATATATCGGATATATTACAATACACCCACGCTGTTGTACATTGTGGATGTCGGTTTAAGAAACTATCAATGAAAAGAAAGAAGTAGAAGGAAAAAAAAAGAAAAAAGAAAAAAAAGGAACGAAAGAATTGATATACAATATTTATTTGACGCGTGATTTAATACTTGACTTTCGCCTTAACCTCTTCCGCGACGCCACCCCACCTGAGTTTGTAAACGCGCGATCGCCACTGTATCAGAGGATCTAGAACCGCTTGAAGGAATAAATAGGGCCTGGTAATCTCACTGAGTAACCATCCGCAAACAAATTCTAATTTGTTGAACGGCAACGGACCGTTCTGTACGACGCACAACAGCGTCCAGTCCAACATAAACCACAATAGTATATGTACCAAATAGAAAACCAGAGAATCCCATTCGAAGAGTACGCTGGCCGCCCAGGAAGCACAGGCACCTAACACTAAACACTCGCTCAACGGTTCCAGAATGATCATTGTAGGTAACATAGCCACACGTAGCTTCGCCCACCTTCGTAACCTCGCTTGGAAAGAATGGAGCTCGCAGTGGCCGCTGTTCTGCAGAGCCGGCTGCGAGGACACAGTGATACGCCAACCCCGATCGGTCAACGACTTTGCGTAGAAAAAATCTTCGGCAAGATACACTCCGAATGTTTTTAAACCACCAACCTCGTCGAGGGGCGCTTTCCTCAGTAACGCCGACATACCGGTATGACAGTTTATCCTGAGCAAATCGGCGGCAAGGTACATACGGGACTGTACCGTACCGAAGAAGATTTTCTCGTATGCGGCTGCGAAACCTTCGCGATCACAGGTAAACGGCATCTGATGTACCAACGCGACATTGTCGGTCATATAATTAACCATATCTAACAGCGTGTCCTCTTTCATCTTGATACCACTGTCACTGATCAACACGAGCTCGTGTTTCGCTGCCTCGTATGCCGGTTGCATATTGTTGATTTTCGGATTGACACCCACATTGCAACCACCGATAAATAGTTTTGCGTCCACCTCCGGATACTTCTCGATCAGTTTACGCACTAACATTAACACAGGATCCGAATCGTCCTCGACGCAGAATAGTAGCTCGTAACGAGGATATTGCATGGTGAAAAAGGTCTCTAAGTTACCGAACAGATTCGGATCAACGCCCATCAATGGTTTGATGATCGACACGCCGGGTAAGGGCGTTTCGTACGTTGGTACTTGAATGACTTTACGGTGCAGCTTCCACCGTCCGGCTATCAAAGCCAACACATGAACGATCCACATAACCGACCAGAATATTATAAAGAATACCGCGAACCCGTAGAGGGTATATACCATGGAGTTCATCTTCGAACGAAGATCCTCGTCTCTCGGAGGTGTAACCTCCGGGGTTTTTCCTCACCTCTCACCGTCGCTTTTTTATTTCGTCTCGTCGCGTCGCGTCTCGTCTCGTCTCGTCTCGTCTCGTCCTCGTCTCCTGATTTTATTATTCGATCCTTTCGTGGTGTTTAGCGACAGAAATGGTGCTCTCGAAGCCCGCCATCCTTCTACGCGACGACGATGTTCGCGGCATCCTCGACGTTCCCGTCGTGCCGCGATCAGAGATACCGTTGAATCGCGCGGGCCATCGGTGTAACGTTTTTGGCGACTTCCACGGTGTAGCACCGTTTTCACGGCGATCACAGCGACGGCGGCGGCGACGACGACGAAGACGTGACCACCGCTTCCAATACATTCACGCACTAGGCTTCCCTTGCGGTTAGGGTGGCTGCGTAGCCGACCACGGCTACCAGCACTCGAAACGCCGGCACGCTATGTCGGCGTCTATTACCTTCCTCTCCTTTCTTTCACTTTCCTTCCAGACAAGGATCGTCTATTTACAATCACCACAGACACCGGAGCACCCTCTTTGTTACGACCAACCAAACGATCCACCCCAATTTTCACCGATACATCGAACCTTTCTCCTTTCCTGGCTGAATTCGATTCCACGATACAATCAGATCTCTTGCTTGCTGTTCTTTACTTGACAATCTTCTCCAATGATGTCACCTTATTCTCCGGGATATGGTATCGGAGACACACCGAGAGGATCACAGTGGTTGATGCTCCCTTCTGAATGACACTTTCGTTTTCCTTTTGCTCAATACAAAGATACGCTAATCTTTTCAGTGCAACATGTATACACGTCAAAGCAGCACGGTTCGGTTTGTGTTCACGAAAAACGACTGCCTCCTTTCATAATGATGCGCCTACGCGGCCTTGTCCTGTTCTGATTCGCCCGTTACTACTGCACTGCCACCGAGTGCCGATGCATGTCATATTGATAACCAAACTTCTGTCAAGTGACGCGCGAACCGATATGAAACGTTTCTCGTGAAAAACCGTATAGTTAGAAACAGTCGCGACAGCCACAACTCCTCTTCGATAAAACGACGCACCGTCAAGCGTCGACGGTATAACTGGCTGCATGTGACAGCCGGTAGCTCGCACGGCTAATTTGCAACTAAGTTCAGAGTGAACGCGTCAGCGGCCGGAATGGCCAATCGGCGTTTGTCGCGCGTATTTCATGAACGTGAAATAAACATAATCTCCTATCCTATTTTGACAAATGTTCAGCCTTGAGATAACGAGAAACTTCATTTTCCATAAATTAAGACAGGGAATGTAGAACGATAAATAATAGATATTTATTTCCTAAACAATTATTTACAAAATTATTCTGCAACTCCTCAACAGACTATCTCTGAATAAGTATGATATTGAGTATACTATAGATATACGAATCGTTATCGCTTTAAACTAACAAATTTATCAGAAATATGTTTATCGCATTTCTTGGGATAACTGATCATTAGGTTCTTATAAATCCAATAAGCAAAAGTATAAATATGTAATATAAATGGTACCCGGTGTGTACAAATTATTGGTTGTACTACCAAGTTAAAAGCGTAGGACTGATATTTTGTATGAACTGAGAATTATGCATATAAAAGTTACTTCTTAAATAAATAGAAAAATAATAACGAGAGTGAAGTAATTTTACATATATATATATATATCTACAATCAAAAATTTTCATGCTCTGAATTTCTTAAACAAAGGATGCTTATTTGCCTTTTTGTACTCAGAATAAACTGCATCATCTGCACCAGACATGGATGTCATGTTTCCAGCTTTACGTATAATCTGAAACAATTTAGGTGGAATAAAACAATTTGTACAATTTTTAATGTGATTAATGATATGCTTATAAATAGAACATACTGGTCTTGGTCCTTCACCCGGTATCCTTTCCTCATCTGCATCCATGTCGCTAGCAGACAGAACTTGTTGCAATAAATGACCCTGTTCTTCCCTTGATGTATACATCAAGTCTGGTTCCTATATTACGAATAATAGAAGAATTCATCTAAATTAAGGAATTTCGAAAATAATTATCAAATAATGAATAAATGCATACTTCATCCATTCCTGCAAGTTTCGTGATCACTTTATAAGCATATCCTTGATTCACAAGGAAACGTTGACGCTTTCTTGAATAATTCATTTCCATTGTGTCTTGTGATACTAAGGTATAGAAAAATGCATTGTACTCTTCCGCAATAGCGCCTGCAAGTATTTGATTTTATAGTATTTAACACGATTAATTAATTTATTCTAAAATAATAGCAATAATTACCTTTTTTAGCTCTTAAAATACGTCCCAATCGTTGTGCTTCTTGTCTTCTTGAACCACCGTGTGAGGATATTTGAATTAATACATTTGCTTCTGGTAAATCGAAGGAAGTGTCAGCCACTTTACTCACGAATATCGTATTTACTTTGGTATTAAATTTAAAATTTTGCAAAATTTGTATTCGTTCACTCTGAAATTAATTGTTGTTGTGTACAATATATATTTCAAAGTTAATAGAATATTTTGTTTTTTATACTTACTTGACTAGTTGGACCATAAATATATGGTTTATTCATCTTAATAGCATAATGTTTTAAAGCAAAAACGTTATCCGAGAAAACAATGGTTTTATCACCTCGCCTTTCGTGGTACCGTATCAAATATTGGCAGCAACGAAATTTGTTAGGATTCATTACGTAAAGCAACTGCAAATAAAAATATTTGTAAATTGCTAAATATTACTATTAAGTTGAAATTAATTTATTACCTACCAGCTTTTTACTCATTTTGCAACCAAGATATTCCCTATAAAATTCTGGCGTCATAGGACACCAAACTTCAGCACACTGTACCCTTGCAATAAAGCCTCTCTTTTGTAATTCCAACCAGTTGGCTTCGTACAATTTAGGTCCAATCAGAAAATTGAGATCAGCAATCTTGTCATCTTCTCGTAATAACGTTGCGGTCAAACCCAATTTACAATGAGACTGAACAATAGTTAAGACCCTTCTGAACATTTTTGCTGGAATTGTGTGGACCTCTAAAAATATAATATACGTTAGTTTAACGAAACAAATATGATACATCTTACAACAAGTGTATTACCATCCAAAACCATTATTCCCCATTCTTGTTCTTGAAGCCATCGCATTGTTTGTTCAGCTTCCCATGAACGCTTTTGTGTATGCGTAATCATAGAGTATGTAGTGATTAAAATTTCACAGCCCATGGGTTTGTCTTTAGCTTCGCTTGTAAATCGGCATATCATCGAATCGTCCGCGGTCGACCACATTTTAAATTGTTGTTTCCATTGTTCTACCGACACTCCGGAATTACATAATACCAATGCACGTTTCCGAACTGTACAACAAGCTGTCACACCTACTAAACTTTTACCGGCACCTGTAAATAAGTATGAGAATTATAATATTTATAACACAATACTTCCACTGATAATCAAACTATTACTTACCACAAGGTAATACTATAACACCAGATCTGGCACGTCCATTACCAAACATTTTTCTTAAACTCTTCTCCTGATATGGTCTTAATACAGCTGATGGTTTTAAATCAATACTACGGTAGAACAAATTGGTGTTTTTATACATTCTCTATTTCATTTAAACTATATATATATCTGTAATAATTGTACTTACTTTATATCAGGATTTACACTATCATTGCGGAAATCATATTCTGCCAACAATGGATGTTCTAGCTCTATACATCTCTTTTGTATAACTTCAATTTTTTCCTATAAAAAAACTGATGAGTATTCTTTAGTAATGAATATGTAAGATATACATACCTGATTTACTTCAAAACTGACTGTTTTTAATTCTTGTTCTTCTTCTTCCTCTTCATCCTCTTTATCCATTTTGTCATAGAAAGTAGATATATCTTCGGGAACAGTTGCTGTTTCTGCTGGAACTTGATCATTAGATGTTTCAGTTACTTTGGTAGTTCCAGGTGGAACATTGGTTATTGCTTTTGCCCCAAACTAAACAATATAACCAATTAATGTACTGGTACTTTAAAATTGATATAACAATTTTATTACCTGTAGAACTTTTGTTTTACTTTGAACATTTGTAATTATTTCCTCTTTCTCATTTTCTACACTCTTTTTTAACCTACATTCTTGTATCTTTGGATCCTTTAATAACTTTTGTAATACTTCTGGATATGGAGATTCAACAAAATATTTATTATGCTTCAATACCAGTTTTACCTGTATTAAAAATCAAAATAATTTAATGCGTATAATTCATAGTAATCTATACATATCTATATGTTATGTTATCAATCAATTTACCTTGCCATACGATAATGTACATAATTTAATAAATTTTATAATACCATCAGGAATACTGGTTTTACTAAGTCTCTTTAAATACTCTATTATGTCATGTGTTTGAAGACCAACGCTAACAGCAGCATATAATGAATAAGCAGTTAGTTTGTACTACAAAATAAATGTCACATCAGAAATGTTCATTCTTATATAAATTCATTGTTTGTAATGATCATTTTACCTCATGAATATGTTCTGGCCGACATACAGGTTCTGAGATAGCAATTAAGAAATCATGAGCATGTTTATATACTGGTGAAAAGGATTCTAAAAAGATATGTCCATTTGGTGCCTAAAGAAAAACTTCATTAATGTAAATAAAATACCTTCAGCTTGTGAAACATGAAAAAGAAAGTACTGTTGACCTACCACCCAAAGAGGTCTTGAAGCACAATCAGGTTTCAGAATCATTTGTGAACGATAATCCTTTGCGCCAAATTCATCTTCCAATGCAGTTTCATCTTGTTTCTCGACATCATTTTTTGCTGCATCAGGAACACCTGATGTTTCATTATCATCTAAGGAATCATCATCATTAAATTCTTCAAGATCCTCTTTGCGTTTTTTCCATTTACCCCTATCTGTAAAAGTAATAACACATTTCACTGTACTAAGAAGTAACCTCTTAAACAATTACAAATCATTATTCTTTTGAAATATGACGGATAATAAAAAGAAAATCATAAGTAAAAGTTACGAAACTGTTTTAAAATAAGTAATAGTTTCCTACCATTATCTTTTTTAAAACGTTTAGGAGGACCCATTATCGAATAATAACGTTGTTAAACTATGAAAAAATTTGTCTAACTCGAACCTTTTTTATAATATGATAGTGAATTTGTAAAGTTTGTATTTGTTATTTATATTTTCAGCTGAAACAGAATCCTTTGTATCGCATTCTAATTGTGGCATGCACTGAACAATACTGAAATGTATAATCATAATATGCCAGAAATGTGCAATATGAATATTGCGCCCTCTATACATTTTAAATGAACTTAAGCTAGAATACGGATTGAAAAAAATGCTGTACCATTTTGTAACAGAAAAAATGTTTTATTCATAACAAAAGTAATACAAAAATATTAGGTCAAATCTTATAAATCGACGTAAAAATATTTCGTTTATTAATCAGTTCTGTTTCTAGGTTATTGATATCAAGAAGATATATTGTCATTTGTGGCGAAATTTTTGTTACTGACTAGACCTAATGAAACAAGGCAAACCAATGCCGCTCCTTGTTCTGCCCACTTTTTATTTTTTTCCCTGGAACAAGAACAGAAAACAATTAAAATACATGTTATTACCATACATTACATACTTCTATTTAATTACCAGAAAGATGATCCGAATTTCCTCCCATCGACGGTAACAATAGAACGGAAGAGCTTTCCTCTTTGTAATGTATCGTAACGCGGCATTTTCTTCCTCTTACTTTGTGTCCATTTGTGTAATATAGTTTTTGGCAAATCAAGATCCGTCGAATAACTATTTCTTAAAAATGCACAATGCATTAAAACTACGTCCTCTTCATCTAATAATTTTCTCTTATTTGACATTTGGTCTTCATTCTGTTTATCGTCATCCTTCATAGGCGAAACCTGAGATCTTCCCTCTAAACCTTTTTCATCAAATTCTTTTCTTTTTAAACGACAATAATCACTTAAATTCCATATAGCGCTAAAATGAGACATTTATTGTATTTATGATGATAGCAAACAATTGCACTGTTTTTACTAATACAATCTATACCATATTTGCTCTAAAGTTTGAGAACTAAGGAACTTTCTGCCTAGTGCTGATTCTTGTTGCTCACGAAGAATATTCTGTATGCAATACTTGGTATTTGAAGGTGGATTATCACAATCCACAGCATATTTTAAATACGACTTTATCACATCTTCCATGGGAAGTAAACCATCTTTGCTAAATATTGAACAATTCCATTCAGCTGCACGTGCAAGCATTACGCTACTACATCCTGTAACTTCTTTAAACCTGTAAAGAACTATAATTATCCTCAAACTGCATAAGTAACATCATGTAGAATATTAAGCTACAGTTGATACAAAAAATTACGAAGATATTACTTGAAAATATCAGAATACTTTTGTATTTCTTTTGAACCTCCATTTGCTATAACTGGTATTGAAAGCTTCTTGGAAATTTCTCTTAAAATTTCATTACGGTTTGCATGTTGAGGCCTTTCATTAACAGTACGACCATGAACTGCTATTGCTGATATACCAGTTGAGGCCAAAAGTTCACAAAGTTCCAAAGTTTTGTCTAGGTCTGGCAATACACGAATTTTACAAGTTACTGGTATACTCAAATTGTCTACCAATGTTTTTAGAATATTCATTGCAGTTTCTGGTTCTTGTAAAAGGGCAGCTCCCATTTTTCCTACCAATGAAAACAATTTTGGGCAGCCCATATTTAAATCAATTCCAGCAATATCTTGTTCAATCATTTTAGCAACTTTCAGTGCTCTTGCTGCATCACAAGTACCAATTTGTAAAACTATTTGATCTCTCTCTCTAGGACATGTTCTAAAAGTTATAGTACCATCTGTTTTGTCTACATAATCAATTGTTCCTAGAACATCTAAAAGTAAATTCATTTAAGTTTTTCTTTGTTTGCATTCAACATTTTCTTGTAATAATAACATAGTACTGATATCGTCTTACTATTTTCACGGCGAAATGATCTTAACAGTTTCCAGTCTATGAGTTCTTCTGTGTATACAATATTAGCACCATAATCAAGTGCAAGAAGGCGCATAGGAAGGGTACCAATACGCACCATAGGTGCTAATATGAGTTTATTCTCATAATTCAATCTTTCGTTTGCCAATGACTTTGTTACTTTTTCATCCATTGTATTGTCAATATGTTATAATGTTTACTACAATCTTCAAAAGCATAACCTCTAGCGAAACTAAAGTTAATCGAAACAGTAATTAACAGATATACAATCTTTTGTCACCTGTTATCAATGTATAATAAACGTAAGGTATCTTCACTTTCAAACATTACTATTAAAACTAATTAACAGGTTAACAACTCCAAAAACAATGACTACAGATCCAAAAAAGACTGAACATGCCGACATGCCTCCGTTTTCGAGCGCCATCTCCTCTTAAATTATTTTAAACCTACATTTGAAGTATACAAACTAAATAGAAATTTAATGATCTATTATAATTAATTCATGGATACCCTAATCTTGGTAATAGTTGTCAGGTAAATAGCCCCCTGTGGCTCGGGGGGTTTAGAATACGGCCACGGTATCCCCTGCCTGTCGTAAGAGGCGACTAAAAGGGGTCACACAACACATACACACACGCTCGCACGCACGTACACACACCGATTCAAGCGAAAAAGATGAGCAGACTTTAAAAGTAAATTGCGCCTAATTATAAGTGGTATTTTTCTTTGTTTCAGTTCTTTGACCCAATTTTTACTACCTTTGATTCTAGCACAAAACTGAACAATTATTGTTGTAATTATTTGACGAACATATGTATATTTACTTCATGCACTTTAAGAAATAAATTATTTGAAAAATGCAACTAAGTTATTATTTAATTTACCCAATTTCATTTCTGAGTTATTTAATACTCGTGAATTATTTTCTCAGCTATTTATTTAACTGATTTAAATTCATTTATCATTTTTGTTATTCAATGTAAGTACTAAAAGTCCGTAGGGGTCCCTGACACCCCGTATGCCGTTATGTCGGTATGCAGAGTTTCACAGGTTCATAGGGGTCCTTGACACCCCAAAGATATCAAGCCGATAAGTACAAAGCCCCACCGGTGCATCGGGGTTCCTGACACCCCAAAGACATCAAGTCGGTAAGTAGACACCGCGACCTGTGCACCGGGGTCCTTGGCACCCCAAAGACATTAAGTCGGTAAGTAGAGAGCGCGAATTGTGCCCCGGGGTCCTTGAAACCCCAAAGATAGCAATTCAATAAACAGAGAGCGCCGCCTATACGTCCGGGTCCTTGACACCCCAAAGATATCAAGCCGATAAGTACAATGCCCCACCGGTGCATCGGGGTTCCTGACACCCCAAAGACATCAAGTCGGTAAGTAGACAGCGCGAACTGTGCACAGGGGTCCTTAACACCCCCAAGATAGCAGACTGATAAGTAGAAAGCGTCATTGATGCATCGGGGTCCTTGACACCCCATGTTACCTCCTGACCCACCCAAGAAAGGAAGGTCTTAATGAATATATAATTAATTTTTAAATTGGAGCACTTTTAGGCATGTCCAAAAATCGTGTTCCTCCTGGATTTCAGCTCTCCCGCGGGACCCTTGACCGGCTGCGCAGTAGTTAACGGAGAGAGTTAGCGCTGCGCAGTAGATTTTTTATAAAGAGGCTTTACCCAGAAAGGCCAGAATTGACCCCCCTTATTGAATATCTAATTAATTTTTAAATTGGAGCACTTTTAAGAATGCCCAAAAATCGTGTTCCTCCTGGATTTCGGCTCTCCCGCGGGGCCCTTGACCGGCTGCGCAGTAGTTAACGGAGAGAGTTAGGGCTGCGCCCACCGCTGCAGGCCACCGTGGAGGTTTTAGTGGGTACAAATCCCACACCACCCCCGGCCCCTCCCCAGGGGGGCGTGGGGTGTCTTTTGAAGATTTCCTCCACGTAAAAAAAAAAAAAAAAAAATATTTCCGACTATGAATCAGCGACCTCTGGTGGGAGAAAGAGGAACTAAAGCTAGCACCAATTTTGGCCCTCTAGCGGAAAAAATGTGAAATAAAATCTCGACCTCGAATCAGCGCCATCTGGTTTTTGAAAAAGGAACTAAACCAAGTAGAGATTTTGGCCCCCTAGCGGCAAAAATGTGAACTAAAATTTCGACCTCGAATCAGCGCCATCTGGTTTTTGAAAAAGGAACTAAACCAAGTAGGGATTTTGGCCCTCTAGCGGCAAAAATGCGAACTAAAATCTCGACCTCGAATCAGCGCCATCTGGTTTTTGAAAAAGGAACTAAACCAAGTAGGGATTTTGGCCCTCTAGCGGCAAAAATGCGAACTAAAATCTCGACCTCGAATCAGCGCCATCTGGTTTTTGAAAAAGGAACTAAACCAAGTAGGGATTTTGGCCCTCTAGCGGCAAAAATGCGAACTAAAATCTCGACCTCAAATCAGCGCCATCTGGTTTTTGAAAAAGGAACTAAATCAAGCAGAGATTTTAGCCCTCTATCGGCAAAATGCGAACTAAAATCTCGACCTCGAATCAGCACCCTCTGGTGGGAGAAGAAGGAACTACATTTTACACAAATTTTGTCCGTTATGCAACAATGTTACGATTTCACAAGACTTTACTTACCTTTACTTACCTTTACTTGATCCGGTATTTATAATATATCATGGTATTTGTAATATATTTATTATAAGAGTTACAGGGTGATAAGGGATGCAGAGATGTAATGGGTGCAGGGATATATAGGATGCAGAGGCCTAAGGAATACAGGGATGGCTTTATTCCAATTTTATATTATTTTATTAAAATGAATTACGATTTTTAATTTAGTAATTATCTTATGTTTTGTTATTCTTTGTCGTTTAATAAAAGTAAACGTATATATGTATAAAGTTTATTAATATTACAATATTATTTCTGTACACTGTATTGGTAATTTTGTTCAATATTATTATCACTGATAGGAATGTTCTTCTTCTGGGCTCAGAGAACATTCGACATTCTGTTGAGTAACGAATACATTCTGTGCTTTTGTTGCTATATTTCCCTGTCATCAGAAGTTTTCAATAGTTATTAAATTATTAAACTTCCAAATTAAGTATTTTATATCGTTTTTGATAATATATTATACAATACCTGAGTGACCGTAGTAGTACCATGGTTGCTACTAGACATACAAACAACCACTAATTTCGGTGCATTACTTTGTATATGGGTTTTCTGTTGAGTCACATTACTTTGAGCTATTTTAACTTGTTGCTGCGATGGTTGTTGTTGCGGTTGTGACTGAGATTGTTGTTGTATTGCACTAGTGTTAATATTTGTAGCAGTTGGAGTTTGAGAACGTGATTGTAAGATCACGAACTTTTGTCCACCGCTCGTGGTAGTTCCACCGCTAGTTCTACTTGTACCGAGCATAATTGTACGTCCAGTTTGTTGGCCAGGACTAGAACTTGTCACTTTAATAAAAGATAAGAAATAAATTAAGAATAGATACAACCAAAGGAAATATTTATAGTTTCAAATGACCAAAAATAACATTACCAGCTTGTACAATAGTTTTTCCAGTGCACGTAGGACCTTGTTGGCTTGTCGTTAAAGCAGTTGTCGATGCAGTTGTTGTTAAAGTTACCGGTTGGGTACGAGCTTTTGCAACTGCCGCACACAAGGCAGGACCTATATAGCCATAATCTTGTTTGTAATCTTCCACATAATCTGGTGGAGATCGTATTGTTTTTAAAACGGGAGCAACTGATTTCTACAAAAATGTATTACAACTTGGCATCAATTTTCACAGAAAAATGTAATAAACATTGTATAGGTAGAATGCAACATTTACCACAAGAAGGGTTTTTATATGACCTGCTCCATTTTTATCTACACTTGACAAACCGGGGCCTTCGATACATGATTCGATACGTTCAGAAATTGATTTAATTTTTGGAATAACCAACGCTTTAATTACTTCCGGGCCTAATTCGCACAATCCTTCGATTGCGCCGTAAAGTGATGCCAGCGGTGTCTGGAAAGTTTGCAATCATTAAAATTTTATTGCTAGTTTTTTTTTTATACACATTGCAATCCTCCTATCATACCTGACTGTTTTTAGCCAATGCCTGACTAAACATTCTGGTTACTCTGGTCTGTACATTATTCGTAGAAGTATTAAAATTTTTACAAATTTGAGCCATAAGGCGCGATGCAAAATCACGAAGAGCCCAATGATTGTCTACTTCTGGTCTCATACACAACTGTCGTGAAACTATACAAGTCGCAATAGATGGTATCAATTCGTGCAACTATAATTAAAATATGATGTTAACCAAAATCAATGAACTGTACATTACATATTAAAGATAATAAAACTTGTAATACATACGTATTTTTCTAGGTACAGGCTAGGATTGTCCAGAAGAGCTTTAACCATACGCATTAGATAAATGAGAAGTGCAAGATTATTTTGCACTACATTAACACGTACACCTTCGGCGATAAAAGTGCACATACGTGCTAACATTTCGTGTAAACCAGGATCAGCAGAAAGAGACTGAAGAGCTTCAGCTCTTCGTGCTTCGTCTGATCCAACACAAGCTTCTGTAATTTCTTTATAATATAGTTGCTGTTCAACGCTTAACTCATGGGTAGCCAGCTGTTTGACATGAACAGTTTCTACGTTACGTAATTTCTGACTTTTGCCACCCCCTCCAGGTTTTCCAACACCAATATTTTGGCTCTTATTTGTAAGTTTACTAGTTGGATCAACACTTTCTAATCTTTGAACATCTATTGTATCATAAATTAATTAATGTTAGTATTTTATAAAATAAATCTTTGTATGATATGTTAAATTATTACCCTTAGAGACTGGAGGTGGATTTTCTGGTATAGTGGGTTGAACACCATCTATGCAAAGCCAATGGGCACGTAGTGTAATTTCTAAAGGTAACTTGGGCCACGTTTGTCCACTAGACATAGATATTACTTCGTTAAGATCAATTTCTTTTTCCTCTACAAAGTGTAATTCACGACCACCGCCGGAAGCAAAACGAAATGGTACATGGTCCTTGGCAAAAAATCCATAAGTTGGTTCAATGTTCTTAATTTTCAAAGCATGATCAATGTCATATGTTGTCATACGTTGACGTTTTCCATGCCTCATAAATTTTGCTGCATCCTAAACGTCAAACATTCAAACAAAATAAATTCAATATAAGTAACAGATAGCACTAATACAAATATAATTTAAAATTATACAAACCTGTATGATTTCTTTAAGTCTGTAGCTTACATCTTCAGCAAGATCTTTAGCAGCTTCATCAGGAAAATTTCCAACACCTATACTTTCTGCAATTACTTTTATTGATTCTTGTGATAATGTAGTACCATAAATGGATTCACTTTCATTCATCTTTAATATATTTTGTTTATCACATTCCATATGATGTAAACCGAAAGCCCTTCTCTAAAACTCTATGTACACACTAGTTATAAAAATACACTAGTTAACTCCAAAATCAATATGTTCACACTATACTTACGCTATTATGTTTTAATTACAATTCTATTCATTGTTACTGCTACGAATATAAACACTGATTCCTAAAAATGAATTTTACATATAACATATACATAACTAAAATTCCCAATTCACAGTATGTACAGTGTAATTAATCAATTTCTTTCGATTTTGAACTTGTAGTATTATATATGAAGTATTAAGAAATACAATTTATTTCATAAAATTTAATAATAAACCTTAATCTGTTAATCTTAAACAAACCTGTACCTATATACAAACAGAACAATTGCTTCGGTGTAACTGTTCATAAGTCATAAGTGGTCACCATAGACTAAGTAAGAGATAGACCGATCAACCTTACGGGAATTCGTATATTATGATCTGAAATACCGATGTTGTTACAAATTGAAACACAAACGTCTATGCTTCTGTTGCGTGTCCGTCGCGGAAAATAGGGATATTCGGGGATTTAGGTGCAGGTGTGACAGTCCGTGGAGCGCAGAGGCGCTCTGCTCTCAAGGCGCGGATATACAAAATAGTAAACTGTTATTATTGTTTTGAGTACTTTAATATTTTGAATTCAATTTAAAACAGAACTTTGACTTTGTGTTAACAAGGCTTAGAACTTTCTGTGCGAAAACGACTTGTCCGTAACGAGTGACAAAATCATTCTGACAATTCTGCGCTTGGCGGAGGAGATCTTCGCGCGTTGTCGGTCGATGCCCCTTCCTTGGTGGATCCTAGATCCTCCCTCAGGATCATCCCTCGTCCAATGGTGGAGGAGTCCACCCCGTCTCGTATGGGCCCCTTCTCCTGGCTGTGGTCCACCCTCAAGCGCGTGGAAGTGGAGGCGCTCCGCCAAGACGCTAGAACGTTGCAGCGCACATGTGCTAAGAGAAAGCGTGGGACCCAGAGAAAATTAGGAAACGACAAGACCTTGTACTTGCCAAAGCAACTCTTGAGGAAATTTACGACCCTCTTAGAGTGCATGAAAAGACAGGATATCGAAAAAGACTTCGTAACCCTTAAGGACCGTTCGTGACTTGGTCGAAAACAACGAATTAGCTATGGTCTATCATAAATTAGTTTTTAGGAATTTTCCAAGTGAAACTATTCCATTCTCTGGACTTCCGGCCTTCTCTCAGCTCTATCACCCACGTCGAGGGGTTTACAATTTACTCTTTGTCTATTTATATAAGGGTATGCATAGACGATGTTCGAATTTCGCTCTTAATTTATGACCATCGATACAAAGGTCCTCGAAGAACATTCAAGACATATCGATACAATAGACTATCGATAAATATTCCCATGGCAGTGTCGCCACACCACTCTAAACATATTCACGTGATAACGTTTCACGTTACACTTCCAATATATGTTTGTATTCAGATTCTACAAAACCGTATGAAAAACGTATTTAAAATACGATAAAATTTGTATGTATGTATGTACATACATATGTAGAACTAAATAAATACCTTTTTCTCCATTTAGACGTACTCTAAGGACTTTGCATCTGTCCCTTTTTGCCCACCGAAAGGTTGGCATTGCTGCCAATCCTTTCTCGCGCCATTTTCAATTTACATTATTCTGCTTTTCGTGTTACATTTTTCCTTTGCTCGTTACATTTTCTTTTCTTACATTATTTCCATACTTTTTATTCTTCTTTCCTGTCTTTCTCTTGCGCCCCCTTTTAGTCGCCTCCTACGACAGGCAGGGGATACCGTGGCTGTATTCTAAACCCCCCAGCCACAGGGGGAAATAATTGAATGAACAACTTGTTCACATAATTCTTATTTAGTAGATAGATCTTTACTCTAAATTAATAAATAATTATGAAAAATTATAAAAATATTATTATATACGTATATATTATACACCTACGGACGTTAAATGTTAGTGTTTAGTATACATACTAGGAAAATTTTATGTATGAATTAAACTATACATACCCAACATAGCAGCTGATCATTGTCTTCTAGGAAGTTTCTCACAAGATGTCGGGGGGTATTTTGCGTGACAAGCCGCTAGTATGCTTTTGGACGATATGACTTGCTCTCTGCGGTGCACGTCTACAAAATTCCGGCCTATATTAAATCCTAAAGGGCTGTAATATTGTCGGAATAAACATTATTAATTTTGACTATTCTTACAACATTGAAAAATAGAAAAACTAGGACTATTTGTAAGAACTGTGTCAGTGCGTGTATCACTGCCAAGACCAATTATTTGGAATATTAATTTTTCATGTGATTACGAAATAGAATTTTTATATTGGACAGAAATACTTTTACTATAGTTGGAAAATACGTTACCACTATTTAAAATTGGGATGGGAGCCAAAGCAAGTACGGTGGCACAATCTGCTGGAGGCAATGGACAATCCTCTACTGGAGCAAATGAAGCTGCGATGCAAGGTTTTTCTATGCTTCGCTCTCTTCCTGGAGGTGTTAGCATGTTACAACATCAACATCAGCAAGGAAATCAATCACAAACCTCTAGAGTATCTGGAGATAGTAGACAGCGTGCTCGTTCCTTAAGTTCAGTGCCAGATCTTTCTTCTGGCGAACAGAGCAGTCTTGCTTCTTCTGTAGGAGTTGGAGTTGGTCAGGCACTTGGTCTACCACAACTTGATTCAGATGAAGCAGATGAGGATAGTGGTCGGGTATATGCAGCGCACAGCTTGCCTTCTCATATTTGGTCTCTTAATGGTACGTTCATGAATTTAAAGTTACTAAATGATTATAGAATTTAAAATCATTTTTTCCTTAATAGTATATTTATACATGTTTTCATTAATATATATTACAATAAATACATGTTTACATTCATATACACAAATATATATGTATATATAAATGCAAAGCATTTGTGTTATTATTGGTCAGTATTTTTCTTTTAACTGAGAAGTATATGAAAAGAAAAAATAAATGAAACATTTCAATAGTAACAATGTATTTAAATGTTGAATATGTTATTGCATCATATTTTATCAAATTGTTTTGATAGTCCTCGTATGAATTAAAAAAGTATAGCATCCTTTTAACAAAAAGAAAATTAAAATCATCTATATGTTATAAAATTTATTATAAATTTGGAAATTAATTCAAATTTCACTATTCTTAGTAAAAACAATGAAACATTTTCTTATCAGTTGGTGCTAGACAATAATAGTACATATTAGAATACATATTAGAGTAGAATTAGAATTATACTATATTAGAATGAAACATGCAGGTATTTGTGTACTACACTCAATATTTAAATATAAACATATGTACAAAGTGTACAAAAGTAATGGTCATAATTTTTAAAACAATTATTTGTAAGAAATGCAATTTTCCTATAATAAACTATTAACATTTTTACAGAATTTAAATAGTTCTTAGGTACAAGATGACCCTATTTCAGGCCTTCAACACTATAGGGCAGAAATGGCTATCTGAAATCAAGTGTAGGTCTAGCCTACTTCTATTTTATATCTATGTCCTCTTCAATGTGTATAGATTATGGTTTGTATGTAATGTCGAAAACGTTGGTAATTATCAGTAAGTATAATTTTTCAAAAAACATTTATGCAATAAGAATAATTATTTCTTATGTATTACATCAGTTTTATTTAGACACAAGACTGTATCTTGAAAAATGGTATTGACGATTACCGACGTTTTTAACGTCGTACACGGATCACAATCTATTCATTGTTTTCTTAGGAAGCTATTCTACATAAAGAAAGTAAACTTGGACTGCGATTATTTTACTAACATAATTTAGATTTGAGGGGCCTGATGATAAGGATCTTGCATTAAAAAGAAACACTGTAGTGTTGTCACGACCATTACTTTTTTAATACCTTTTGTGTGTGTGTGTGTGTGTGTGTGTGTGTGTGTGTGTAATTAATGCACACACGTGCGTGCATATACAATTTATTACTATAAACATATGAAATTCATAATTTAATAACGTATAGATAAATCGGTGAAATTATAAATTAGTTGATAATATTATATAGTACATTGATGGAACGAGAAAGTTTATCATTTGTTATGTAATTCTATATTTATGCGCGTCTAATATGAACATATAAAAAGTAGAAATTTAATGCTTTTCCATATCTTATTTTTAGGAAAAAGAAAGATTTTTTTAAACATTTAACATTCAGTAATTTTTTTTAAATACATTACATGACTTTCTTATTACGAGGACTTCTTCTTTTCATTAAATATGCTTTTCTACAAATTACACATTGTTGTTTAAGTACATATTTTTTCTGAATTTAAAAAACAAAAGGGAGGGTTATGTAATAATATTTTGTAATGATAATCGTGGGTGAAATAAAGGGCGTTTGTTTGGCGCATGTTGTCGAAGTAGTTGGCCCGGTAACCACGTATATAAATCAATTGTGATCTAACGTAGTTCAATAAATTTTAAATTCCGACTGTAAAAAGTAATAATTTTTAAAGATGGAATTTCACAACTATTTAATTGTATGTATATGATGGGTAAACTAAGGTTATGTAGGTTTTATTATGGGAATTATAATAAGTTCATGTCTAAATGAGGCTGAGGCTGAGGTTGTTCCAGTAAATCAAGTGAGAAGAATTTTGTATGGTATAGTTCTCCCTAGTTTTCACAGCAATTCATTTCTGTGTTAAAACCATGAATAATATATTTATTTTACGTTTAAGGTCTAAAATGTCCCGTTTGTTCCAAATTTATTCTACCAGATGATATAGAATGTCACCTGGTCATGTGTTTGACCAAGCCACGTCTTAGTTATAACGGTAAGTTCATGTCTTCTGCTTTTGTTTGATTTTGAAATTCATATTATTCATTTTTTATTGAATATCTATTAATATGTAATTTTGTATTATTTTTTACTATAGAAGACATATTATCTGACGAAAAAGGTGAATGTGTTATTTGTCTTGAAGAATTACAACCTGGTGATGTTATAGCCCGCTTACCTTGCCTTTGTATATATCATAAAAAGTAAGTTTGTATGGTAAAATTAAGATTAAAAGAAAATCTATTAAAAACTTGATAATAAAGTAAAATATTATTATTTTTCAGTTGTATCGATAAATGGTTTCAAGTGAATCGTAGTTGCCCTGAACATCCTGGGGATTGATTTATACCCTTTGAACTTAGAAAAGCACAATGTAACTTGTTAATTCTGAAGACTCTCATCTTAGTGGGAACGAAGTCGGAGGAAACGGAAAAAAATTAAAAAGCTAGTCAAGATGGCTGCTAGTCATCATGGTGGTTGGTGTATGCGACTGACTGAATGGGACATACTCAATTTGAACATGAAAGCAAACATTTAATTAAATCCTTGATTATATTATCTGTAAGCAGGGGACTTAAAAAATCGCCATAAGATTCAACGACACACAGTGCTAATATGTATGTGTATCTATAATTAATCTATTACTGCTTTATAGCTTACTATCAATTGTACCATATTTATAAATTTTACTTAGTTTTATATCTTGAAATCGAAGTAGCATTAAGCAAGATCGTATATTTGTTATTATTACGTACTTTTTTTTTTTTTTGGAAAAGGGAATATAAAATGAATATTATAATTCCAGAATAATGATTAGAAAAAGTTTATATTAAAAGCGTTAATTGTAATTTTATGGTTTCATAATAATGTTTCATTTTTGTTGTTTGTTGGGGAATGTATATCAGAAAGGATATTTTTGATACTTTCATAAAAGGAAGAGTTGGTATATATCAAAGTTTTAAGAAACAGACTTTTATTAGAAATGATGTTGATGTAGTAATAACGGTAAAAAGTTTAGATTTAAATTTATCTTTACTAAAATTACAACTATGTGATAAATTTCATTTACGTTTTTAGAAGCTAGAAGGTCTCTAAGGATGGAATGTAATTTACTATCAATTACAAGTTAGTTATTTCATAATTAATATCTTTTTTATATGATAAGTGTTAATATAACTCATAGTAGTTTTTATAACAGAAATGAATATGGTCTGTCAATTTTCCAGTAATATACTCATTGTATATATCTGGATTAAACTTGTATCATACAAGATAAAAAGTCTAATAAAGTGAATATTCCAAACCAAATATAATTATATAAATTTAAGAATTCAATACAATTATAATAATGTAAAAACAAAAATTTTATGTCAATGGGAAAGTAAAAATTAATTCCACATTTTAAAATTATAAATAATGAACACTGTTATACTCTTATTTGCAAATTTTTTCATCTATGATATTCTTGCAAACAATTTGTATACTTAGAAGTCACAATATAATTTTGTAGCTTCTGTTTTTAAATGGTACCAAGAGAATAAATCAATTCTTTTATGAAACAATGCTATGTGAAATATTTTGTCGTTTGAACCATTTTATGTATAAACAATTTTATTCACTTTCTATATTGGTTTGTAGAATATGTTTAAATGGGGATCCGGAAAATTCATCGCCCGCAATTCACCGCCATGTATCGGGAGGTCGTGGGAACTATTCAGCAAGTAGTTTCCGCTGTTTTCGTATAGATGGCGCAATGGTCGAATAACTTCAAATTCCGCGTCGGTAAAACAGTCAACGTTTCATTGCAAATTAGGCCGAACAGAAACTGATTTAAGCGCCACCTCAATTATCTATAACTATAAGTACATAATTAAACAATACTGACCATGCATTCATTATTATTAATTTTCTTTCCGTAAAATTGTAGTTGCAATGTGATACACTTCAGAATCTGAAAGGTATAGTTCCTGAAAAATATATAACAGAGATTAAATAGAAAAAAAAAGCATAAATTTCGCAGCCATTTCGCTAGTATTATTTGCTGCATAATTAATAAATGTACCATAGAAATAATGATACAGTTATTAATTAGTCATCAAATAATAACGATTGCCCAGGTCTCACCACGAGGAGGTTGCTGCGGTTTGGAGACGCGCCCTACCTCATCCCATCCACCCTCCATTTATGCAAATTTTTACTTTCATTCAATAATGAATTCCTCTCGAAAATTGTTATAAGAAAAATATTTGTTAGTCAACGTGGCGAATTTGTATCAAATGAAAAGCAGAAATTATGTGTTCTGTAGACGTTAGTTGGATGCGATAATTCAGGTGGCGTTGAAATCAGTTTCTGTTCGGCCTAATTTTCGATGAAACGTTGACTGTTTTACCGACGCGGAATTCGAAGTTCGGCCTCCACGCTAGCATCGCTTTAACATATGTTAGGTTTTTCAACCGGCTAAATGTAAACATGATGCGTATGCATAATCTGGTATCAATGAACTCTTAGTGATAGAGTAGTCATTAAATATTCATGAGTTACATGAATCTGTACGTAATAAGTATCTACAATTTCATTCCAAAACCTGGGAGAGATTGTGCCACATCGCTTCGGATCGCATTAGAGTCGAGCGTATGTACACAGACTGATACAGACAATGTTAAGATTATATTAACGAAGATTTAAATACAAAGATGCAGTGGCCGTCGTTTACTCTTATATTGACCGAAATATTTTTAGCTTTTATTGCTTATTCAATTTATAGTTTGTCTTTGTTGTTTGTGGCACCAGTTTGCGAGGAAGGCAAATCATGCTTAACGTCATACTTGAATCAACAGCCACAAGTACAGTTACAGGTGTATAGTTCTATTGATAAATATCCCTCAGATCGACAGATCGATTTTGTGTATGGCAATGAAAATTTTAATTATACACACCCAGATAACTTGTGAGTATATGCTGATCTTGTATTAGTAAACTTAATGTCGGTAAACATTCTTTTAGATAAATATTATTTCTGTTCTTTCAGTCCTTTGACTTTGACCATTCCACGCAAAACGCGAAACAATGGAACATTGTTTCTACATATTATCATTGCACCAAGTTCTAAAAGATATGGGAAAAGTATCATGGATGCACAAAGGGTACGTGTAAAAGATAACATAAATTATATTTGTATTTAACTGTCAATTAATACAGAATTTTCTCAGGATCCATATGTATCTTATACGAGTATTAAAATGACTCAATATATGGTACCTGAAGCAGAAGTTTTTAATCTACTAGGTGAAAAAGAATCTCGTGTAAAAAAGAAGAAAACAAATTCAATGCAACCTGTGACTCATCTCAAAAGCCGTGTAACTTTCACGATAATGACAGATGATGCGAAGCTTCCTGTGAATAATGTACCAATGGAGCTTGTAAATCACTTGAAGTATGACAGTAATGTCTTTGATAAATAGTTATTTGTAATAGGTATAAAGATAACAAATTTCTTCTAGGATTATACATGGGAAAACATTTTTACCCATAGTCAAGTGTGATTTCCTACAAACCAGACATCATGATTTGGTAAAAATCATGCCTCAGAATGACACAGTCAATATCACCTTACAGTATTCTCCAGTTTCTCTTGGAAAGTTAAGACTGTTGCTACACGTGGAAGCTACTATGCAGAGCTTAAAAAATCTCGGATTTTCTGATAAAGATGTAAACGAAGTAAAAGGAATTTTTGCAGACACTAATATATATATCTTGGGAGGAACTTTCTTTATTGCAGCCATTCATGTATGTAAATTAAACCAGGTCACCATCTGTTTCATGGCTGACATACTGGAGCGAAGCAATTGATTTGCAGTAAAAGTAACTTTAACAGAGTTGGGACATGATATAGCAATTAAAAGTAGTGTTTAATAGTTGATAAAGTAGCATGTAAAAAGTAACAGTGAAGAGAAATTTAGATTATAGCATAATTAAGATTTCTCTCATAGACTCAACATGGGTATCAGTTTCTGTGACCATTCCTCAAGGACACCACCAATCTCTGATTTTATTCTATATAAACACTCACAGTGACCACTGTGATCGGCTTGCAAAGAATGGTCAAATTTGATATTTTAAAATTGATAATCTTCGCTCCAACAATGTGTATGGGAAAATTTAAGATACAATGTAATATGATTATGTTTTACATTACCACAGTTGCTGTTTGATTTTCTTGCCTTTAAAAATGATGTCAGTTATTGGAGGAGAAAAAATAATCTTGTAGGCCTTAGTAAGTGGACTGTTGTATGGAGAGGATTCAGTCAAACTATCATTTTTCTGTACTTGTTAAATGAAGGTTCTTCTTTGCTCGTTCTTATTCCTACTGGGATTGGATCCATTATTGAGGTAACAATATTTTTTTTTTTTGTTTTTTTTCTTTAATACGTTTTAATAACATGTATTTTATTTGATTTAACAGATATGGAAATTAAAGAAGGTATTAAAGTTTAAATTTAACAGAGACAATAATATTAATGTAGCTGAAGCTAAAACAAGACAGTTCGATGCAGAAAGTATGCATTACTTAAGTTACTTGTTATACCCTCTTGTCATTGGTGGTGCAATATACTCCTTGCTCTATCAGCCTCATAAAAGGTGAGGATTACGTTTAAATTTAAAACATATAACTTTTCATGCGAACATTTAAAATTTTCAGCTGGTACTCGTGGAGCATAAATTCCTTAGTGAATGGTGTCTATGCGTTCGGATTTTTATTTATGCTTCCTCAGCTTTTCGTGAATTACAAATTAAAATCTGTGGCACATTTACCATGGCGAACGTTCATGTACAAAGCATTTAACACATTTATCGACGATGTGTTCGCATTTATAATTTCCACGCCGACCGCGCATAGAATAGCTTGCTTCAGAGATGACGCAGTTTTTCTTGTTTATCTTTATCAGCGATGGTGAGTCATCAATTTTTTACTAAATACTATATTCTCTACGTTGTACTCAATTACACTATTTATATCTAATTAGGCTGTATCCAGTAGACAAGTCTCGCCCAGATGTTGACTGTATTGGTGAGGAATCTGTTGACTTTAATAGTGTGAACAAAAAATTGGATTAAAATAAAGATTTATTTAATTGCTATTTATATTTCTATTATGTTTAACACAAGATAGCATTGTTAAACAATATTGTTTGTATTAGTAATGAACATATGACACGAGCATGATTAAATGTTACAGCATTCAAATTTTATAAAACTAGTTTAGATTCTGTTAAGGAAGCTTGAAATACCAGTATTTTTTAGTGTTACATAACAGAAGAATAATCATTTAGAAATAAATAAAGTTTGCTGTGAATAATATTTTATTTTTTATTTTAGATAAATGTTCTATTATGAATTATGCAGTATAGTATTTTCAATGTAATAATATCACATGTAAAGCGATAACGAAATCCCTCAGGCTTTTAGATAAGATTAGAGTGTATTCAGTTTTATTTCATTTAATCTCTCCACAGCGACCTTTAACATTATTTCCTATGACACTGTAATAATGCAAAATTTGAGATTTCAATGATTTTACATTCCATGTATGCTGTAACAAATTAAGTGTACGTGTTATGTAATTTTTTCTCGAGATTATTTCCAAGGTCACGTAACACTATTTAAGTGGTACATGAAATGATGAATAATCTGCTAGTATAGTAGTAGTCAGCATTCGTACATGACTGACGTTTCGGTTTAAAGCAACATTTAAACTGCATAAAAAGAAAATAAAGCGCGTGATAAATCGGATATAGATTAAGACGTTCAAAAGCAAATATGATCTATCATGAACGATTACGATTAAAATCCATCATTACGAATCCTGTAATTGTATTTGTTGTTATCATATATTGTTAGATAAGTGTACCAATCACAATGTCAAAAGCGATAAAGATAAGAAATTTTGATTAAATTTCTTGGCCCTATCTATTTTGCTCCCATTTTCGTTAGAATCGTACAGTCGTAAATATCATTGATATTTCATCATTAAGATTACCGAATGCAGAATGGCAAACATTCTGTGTATCGTACAAATTTTACTTTTCATTTTTTTTACTTTACAATTATACTTTTGGATTAAAGCGATAAAAAAACGAAAATACACCAAAGAAGGTAAGCTTTTGCGATTGACTATTGTTAATAGAATAAGTATGAAACTATTCATAAAAACTTCTTTTAGATGTTTACTTCTCACTAAAACGTTGGTGGGCAGAGTGTTGTATTAATCTGAAAAAGAAACAAGACAGGAATTTGCATCATTCTGGAAAAGATGTTTCAGAAAATTTAAAAATCAAACATGAAGATGTAAGTTATTATTTACTTCACTAAATTAACATTCAGACTGATTCATTTTACAATATTTCTGCTTTATTCATATTATATTTAGAACAACAACAGTGTACTTTTCTATGGCACAGATCAGAAAGGTAACTCCTTATTTGTTAAATTTTCTCACAGAAAATTTAAACTGACTGAAGTATCACTGCAGCTTTCTACATCTGATGGTCAGCTATATGTTTTGCCCGGTAAAAAAGAATCTTTATTTGCCAACAATCAACATTTCTCTTATTAAAATACAGCATAATATTATTAATTTTATCAACAGACTATCCGGACACTACGCTGGTAAGCAGTTTAAATCAGGAGTGGATTGCTGGTGGACTTAAAATTGAATTTTTAGAATTTCAAAAACGTTGGAGGATAGTTTATAATGGCATGCTTCGGAACTTAGCTCGCGGTGATAATATTGATCACGTTCGCTTGAATTTCTTGTAAATATAAAAGGAAAAATGTTTATCATACTATTTAAACAATTTTATGTAACGTTAAACTGATAATCTTTGTTTAGATTCATTGAAAGTTCATATCCGTTAAAATGGCCAGAAGATTGGAGTTCTAAATTGCATGCTGAAGTATTAGCGAGTGAACCATGGAGTTTCAAATGGATAAATAAAATGTATTCGATAAATGTAAAAGCATACAGTTACAATTTGATTTTCATTTATTAAAATAATACACTATGTTTAATGTTCACAGAAAATTATTCGATAACGCAGGTTTTGATCAAACGGGATCGATGTTGGGACAAATAACGTACAAGGATGCGTCTGTTTCTACAATGTATTTGCGTGGACTTCACCAGCATCGTTGGGGAAAACATGAATTTCACGAATCAGTTACTTTATTCGTTGTAATGCCACTTGGGGATATATATTATCTTGGCGTGGGCAGTACAAAACACAGCTTTCCACAGTAAATTTATATATACATTACACTTTTATATACCATAATCTTCAATTAATTAAAGGAAAAAAATTTGCTTACAGACTGCAGTTTGGTCAGTTTAAACATAGCAATGAAGAAGTATACGAGATAGAGAAAATAGACTTCAAGTTATCTGATTTTACCCAAGGAAAGTTTAATGCTAACTCTACACACAAAGTGGGATTCGAAGGTTAATTGCAATTTATATAAACGATTCGTGTTTAAATCTACAGATAATAGATTACATGTTTAATTTCAGTCGATGGTAAGGGGTATAATATCGTTGTAAGGGGTAACGATCCGTTAACATTACATTATGGTCAACCATGGAACTGGATAAATAAAATTGCTACTGTAAAGTTAGAAGTCAATGGGAAAGAGGGTATGATTACTGGAATATTTTAATATAATATTTCATGGAACAGTATCTAACAGATAAGAGTTTTAAATAGGTTCTGGATTAATACAATTATGGTCTCCTTATAGTGGACCATGTCGTACAAAACTGCCTAAACAGTTACAGTTTTTGAAAGAACCCAACATATCTGCACAAAAAAATGATTATGTTTTATACTTTAATGATAAGAAATGTCAAAATGAAAGTATTGTCGGTGGAAAAGGATTTTCTCTTGCAATATTAACCGCGATAAGGGATGTAGAAGTAAGTGTTATGAATATTATTGTATTTACAAATGTATTTAGATTTGTGTTTATTTTTATAGTACGTTGTACCGAGAGGATTTTGCATAACTGTTTTTGCCCTGGAATTGCAATTAAATACATATAAAGAATTACAAGAAATAATCAGTGACATTGAGGACGTCAGTGTCGGTAGAAAGGACGGTGATCTTCAAAAACACTGCGACGAGTAAATTATTCAATTTATTAAATTTATAAATATTTTTTGTTTAGAGATATTTATTATCTGTATTTTCAGAGCAATGAGTATTATTCAGTCAACTCCTTTAGCTGATAAGATAAAAAATGCGGTTTTGGAAGCAATAGAAAATCTGGAGTCAGTAGATGATGATAAATCACCTAGATATGCAATAAGATCTAGCGCTGTAGGTGAAGATAGCGAGGAAACCTCCGCAGCTGGACAGAATTCAACATATTTAGGCGTTCAAGGGGCGGATAATGTTATCAAAAGTATAGCTATGTGTTGGGCGAGTTTGTTTTCGTATCAAAGTGTTAAGTATAGGTAATTCCAAACACAGTAAGTACAATTAGTCTTTGTAAAATCTGTAACATTAACGTTAAATCATTTCTATACCAGGCAACAACATGGCATGTTTATAAAAGCATCTATGGGAGTTTGCGTGCAAAAAATGGTAAATCCTGATGCAGCTGGTGTAATGTTCACTAGACATCCAACCACCGGCGATCCCTCAAATATTATTATTACAGCTAATTATGGACTAGGAGAGGTATTGTTGAAAAAAAAAAAAAAAAAGGAAAAAAAAGTAGTACAGTGGTACCTTGGTATACGTCCTGTTTGAACGTAACAAATTTTGCTCGGTATACGACATAAATTTTTTCTGTGAATTTTTCGTCATTTTTAAATAATTATCTCGGAGGAAAAATTAAATGAATAATCAATTATATTCGGAGTTGATGTATTATTAACTGACTGATCATACAAGTAAGGATATCATATAACAAACTATAACCGCAAAACAGGAGGCAATCAAATTTATTCCATTTGGTTTGTTAATTTAGAATCTATCATTAGGTTACATTTATATTTTACAAATTAATTATGTTAAATAAACCAGTGAATATTTTTTATAAACTACTAGGAAATCGTTTAAATGCTGTTCATGACATAAACAGTGTTTAAATTATTTTACAACCCCATTAATGTAGGTATAATATCAATAACAGTTTCTTTTACATGAGAACGGATTAATCAATTTTTACATTACTTCTTATGGGAAAGGTTGGTTTGGTATAAGTGCAAACATCAGGAACGGATTAAGGTCGTATACCGAGGTACCACTGTATGTTATAGCCATGGAATTCTACAATCAGTGATATTTTTATGCTTTATGCAGACGGTTGTATCGGCAGCGGTTGAACCTGATACTATAGTCGTTCACAAAACCTGGGACAATAAATTAGCTGTAAAAAGTTCGACAGCAGGGAATAAGAAGGAAAAGATTTTGGCAAGTGGCGATGGAGTAGTTACAGTTAAACTGGACGATCAAGAGAGCAAAACAGTTTGCTTGCCAGACAAAGTAGCTTTACGATTAGCTGCTATAGGAATAAATTTAGAGACTCTGTTCGGCAGTGGTAGGGACATAGAATGGGCAGTGATCGACGAGAAGATTTATTTACTTCAAGCTCGTCCTATTACTACGTTATACATGTGGACAGAATTCGAACTGATACACGAATTAGGAACAGGTGTTCCTAGCGATATTGACTTCAACACATTTGCCAATGTCGGCGAGGTGTTCCCACATCCAATGTCACCCTTAACAGTATCTATTCTTCCTCCAACGTTCAATTCAAATTTGAACGATGAAATTGGAACGAAAAATCAGACCTGTTTCAGCATATTCGGCATGAAAAACGCCATAAATTATTATGCTGTAAGTTATACTGAAGAATCGTAATGAAATTTACAATACGTATGTTATAAATTATGTATTTTTATTAACAGACGTTTCTACGAAAGCCTGCTAAGAAAATAACGCTTCAGAATAAGATCGTAGATATTGCACTTAGCGGAAAAGTGGTAATAACACCGGAACATCATAGAATCGCGTGTGAAAGAAACGGTATAGCTACTGCAAGATTTCAAATGCTTGCAATAATAAAGATGATAAAAGAAATGATACAAAACGGTAGAATAGAAAGGACTGCGGCGGAAACTTGTAAAAATTTAAATTTAAAAGCAGAAGAATTTTCTACCGCCCACAGTTTATACGATGAAATCACTCGGAGATTGAAGGATTGTTTCAGACCGGTAGGTTTTTAGATATTATAATGTTTTAATTAATATATTATTGAATTGTATGAAATTTCAGCAAGTAGATTATCATTCGCATGCATCGAGAGTTAGTATCAGTTATCAAATCTTCGCAATGACACTACTGACAAGCGGTTACACAGACTTCGTACCAGAGCATTTTTCAGACATTGCGCTTTTATTGAGTTCTTGCAGCGATATTATTGGTACCGAGGTGGTGATGAGCCTTAGAAAGATTATAACTTACATAAAGAAAGATGAAAAGGATGAGGAATTTAAAATAGTTGAACCTACAAAAGGAATTGATTGGTTGAAAATTAATTGCCCAGCTGCTGCAGAAGAATTGAACAAGTTTCTTAAAGAGCATGGGCATAGATGTATTCAGGAGATGGACTTTATCTCAGAACCATGGGATCTTAGACGTGAGAATCTCATCGTCACGCTTCAGGTAAACTTGAGTGAGTTATTTGCATAAATACAATGAGAACATATCAGTGAACCAAATTACATTTTTTCTAGACAATGATATCAATCCCGGAAACGAGCAGTCCAACTAAAGTACTCAGCGTGGAAGAAACAATAACATCGTTAAAAACACCAAAATCAGCGATTTCTAGATGGCTCCTTAGAAAAATTACACCTCTCTGCAGAAAAGCTGTTACGCGTAGAGAACTAACTAAATCAATTTTTGTAAATGTGATACACAGATTCAGATTAGCTTTTAGAAGATTAGGAAAACTGATGGTTTTAGAAGAATATATACCTTCAGAGGATCTAATATTCTTCTTAACGATCGAGGAAATAGGAGAAACTTTAAATCACCGTAGTGCAATATTAGTACAAAAGTAATAGAATCATTGAAATTTTATGATATTTCAAAATCTTTCAAATCATTGACGCATTTTTACACATTTTTTAGAGCTTGTCGTAGAAAACGAATCTTTCCTAAATTAAAAGAACTCGAATATCCAGAATTTAACATTGGTATGCCGAACCCTATAAAGGTAAATTATCCTATTTTATTTTATAATAATTTACGTACTATAGAGAAATAAAAAGAAACAGTTATTCCTGTGTTACAGAAAAGTATAGATGTGCCAATAAGCGATGGTAATGTAAAGATTGAAGGAACGTCGGTATGCGGTGGTTCTATTGTTGGCAGAGCATGTGTAATAACAGATGTATCACAAGCGAACACTATACAACACGGTGATATTCTAATTACTCGTTCTACTGACATTGCTTGGAGTCCATATTTTTCGTTACTGAGTGGAATAGTTACGGAATTAGGAGGACTAATAAGCCATGGAGCTGTAATAGCTAGAGAATACGGGCTTCCTTGTATCGTTGGCGCTAACAGAGCTACACAATTTTTTCGAACAGGTAAAATTTTAGTATTCAGTAAAGAAAAAGAAAACGGAGAATACACTAGATATATAAATGTATTTTCAGGCGATACTGTATTACTGGTCGCGGATACCGGCACTTTGCAACTAGTGAAGAAACACGAATAAGAAAACCAAAATCGTGTCTACCCTGCCCATATTGTCCACTCTCGCTTCTCAGCTTACGGACAACTAGAGAGATTTTACTGTACGTTGTAAAAACATAATGTTGGTAAATGTAGTGATTTACTTACTTAGATGCTTACGTTACTAGTACAACTATACAGTGGTAACACGATTAGGATCAGCAATCAACGTAGGAGTATTATTCTTTGTATCACTGGCAAGACACGACAATTGTAAATGCATGGATGTTGCCACTTTTGATAACAGCATGTCGACTCGCATGCGATCTTCTTTGCTAACAGGTTGTGGTATAGCATCTAAAGCTTCTTCGAAGAAGTTTCTAAAAAATAAAAGTAAAATAAAAGTATTTTAATTGTAAGATTACCAGTGCTAACGAAAAGAGAATACTTACTTCGCCCTCGTCGTACTGTAAAATTGTAAAGCATTTCGTAAAAATATAATGTCTGTTCGTGCTTGTACAACTCCGGCCGGTCGAAATTGAGTCACGCATGACATAAGTCTCGCAAGTTCTTCCGCTACAGTTTCTACTATATGTGACAATACTCGCTGTAATAAAGCTGGCGCGACACGACGTACCTGTAAGAAAAAGAAAGCGTTACGATAAATAAAAACCGTGTTTCTAAAATCCAATTTAGCTGAGGATGAAATTATAAATACTTCTGCATGAACTCCGATTAAATTTGCCAAGATTTCTTGCGCATACGGTCTCACGTGAGTGGGCTCAGATTCAAAGTCCCATTCTAAACCGCCTAGATACATGCTCGGTTCGATTGTACCGACTAATGGATCGCAACGACGTTCCAAGTATGCATCCAAGACAGCTGTATCCAATGTTTCTAGTTGCGTCCAATCAGAGTTCCATCCAACCGCGTTTGATAAACTTGGATAATCCAGATCCTTTAATGCGTCTCCAATTCTTGGTAAGATGGTGTTCAGTGTATAGCGAATATTACTTAACGAGATTAACAGGCATTGTTCCCACGTCTGATAAAAAATTCAGAAGTAATGCTAAAATACATTACTGACTTCAAAAGATGCTACAAATTGTATTTATTTATTTATTTATTTTTTGTAACAATAATTAATATATATATAGCATATGGTATTAAGATTGATTATCTTCCTTTATAAATACACAGGATGTCCTTTAAGGGGGTGGTAGCTGGGGTGAATCTTCGCAAAGGAAAATGTTGTTCGGATTCACTCCAGCTACCACCCCCTTAAAGGACTAACACGCTTTCTGGGACACCCTGTATACATATATTAGATACACATTGCAGAACTTACTGGGCCTTGATGTTTGTTACCCTTGCTTTTATACCCGGAAGGGGAACCAACCAATTGGGAAACGGAAGACTCGTCATCATCTAGAGCTTCTTCGCACCCGCTAAATGCCAAACTCTGTAGACATCGCGTAAACGATGTGAACAATGTTTTGATAGAATTGTAATATAAATTTTGATGCGCAGGATTGGCAAACAATGGTCCTTCACGAGGACCACAAGCAACCACTTTCTCTCGTGCTCGTTTCGAAACTTCCATAACCATTTCTTCAAATAGGTATGGCTATTTAAAATTAAAAATGTATTTAATCACAAAACATGTACCTTATCTTACTGTTTACGAAACGAGAAACAATTACCACTTTCGTAAGGCCACCATCTTCGTTTAAATATTCTATTTGCCACGATTCCTTTTTATGTAAAGCTGATATACTTTCTGCAGTTTGTTTAAAAAGAGCCCCGAGACACTGCAACCTGATTTAAAACTTCTTTAGTTTATTACAATAACAAAAATGTATATCTGTGCAATGTTTCATACCTTAAGTCGAGTATAAATTTTCCGAAAATATCCAATGCTTCGTTTGGCAAATCCAGATGAATTAACGAAGCATACATTTGTCTAATCCTGCGTAAGATGTGCAAAAGCCATATGGCGTCCAAATCGTTGCTACATATACCTCTCATGGCTTCCATGGCATGCTGCATGCTTGACAGTACTAAATTCTACATCAAAATATTTTTTTGTAATGGAAAGAAGCCGTACATTTCAATCGTTGTAATTTCACGAATTCTTCATTCTCCTCGGAAACGTCTAAGCACTAAGGCGAGGAGACAGGCGCAGGGGAAGGGAGCACCCGGGATATCACCATTTATCATAGGAAAGCCTACTATACTCCATACCGTACCTTGAACGGAATTTGTTTCTCTGCATCCACTGCAACGTGCAACTGTCCTGTAAAATAACTTTGACCTAATCTCCATAAATCGGGTAACTGTTCAACTATTATATCACAAATAGCTTCAACACACGATATTTGTGGCGGAACATTAGTTGTATCATTTTTGTTTGATTTTAACTGTTTATTATTCTGCGCCGATTTCATTTTATTCGAATCCTCTCCAGTCAAGTTATCGATTTCTAAATGTTCTTGCATACATGCGGTAATACTTTTCTTTAAGTAATTTGAATGTGAAACTGGTAAAAGGTAATTTTGTTAGTGTTATATTTTGTTAGTGCTTCATGATATACGTTATCATGTATAAATACCTATTGCATCCCAAGCTGGATCTCCTTCGGCTTCCAAATTAACAAGATTTCTGATTATCTTTTTATGCTCCTCCAAACTGAAAGGCATTTCTTCAAGCTTTTTCCTTAGATGCACTTTAAGCATATCAATTTTATCGTCGATTTCTTGTAACACTTGTTTGAAAACATCAATTTCTGTGTTTTTAAATAAATTCTTTACTCTAGCGTAATCGTTAATTACAAGATCGTAATTGCTCCGTTTTATATTTTTGTCTATATTAACTGGCATACAAAAAAGGAACTTGTATCTTTGCATTACAGCTAGGGCATTTCTCGTTGCATCTGCTCTGTCTCTTCTTGCTAGTACATCGTCAAATAATTTGTTAGCCTCCGACATAGACCTCTGAATAGATTTTTCTAATTTTTCAGTAGGATCATTGCCATATGTTTTTACATCACTTTCAAACTGTTCTTTCAACAACATTATTGTGTCTAATTGTTCTACTACCGAGCCTACATTAGCCTAAAACATTATTTAAAACATCAAGCAACATTGTAGACATTAAATATATTTTTGTTTTTTAACTGATTACCTTCAAAAATGATAGTTGACCTTCTTTCTGTGAATTTACTTTTCTCTTAAGATATGCCAACCCAGCTTTCAAGTCTTCAAAAGTGGTCGCATGATGGTGTTGCAATAAAAACCATCCAGGGTGAAACTTTTCACTAGTAAGATCACCGCTACCTTCTCCAAATAATTCTATTAATTCATCTTCAGGAAACTTTTTGCTGGAAAAAAGTATGTGAAAGTGATTTGCGTTAACGCGTTGACTGCTATGGTATGTAACAGAAAGCTCTTTACGGAAGCCAACAACGAGTCAATTTGTGCACAAAGTATGGGATAACTACATAGTTGGTGTCCTAGGCAATAATGCAAACTACGAGTTATCTCATAGTTGGCAGTCAATGTGTTAAACTGATAAAGAATGTTTATTCTATTAACATACTCGTTGCCTTCTACGCTTAAACCTAGAGGATCTTCTTGTTGATAATTAGTTGGGGACAGTGTTCTTCTTCCCCATACAAAACTTTGCATAGGAGCTTCTTCGACCCAAACTGCAGATTCTTTCATAGGACCTATAGTTTCATGGTAACCACGAAATTGTACTGTTGATGTTCCCTGTCCTCCACTACGGGTAGTTACTATAATATCTCCACGACCTTTACAAGGTCCTGATCTAGCAATAATTTTGTTAGAAGATTTCCATTCTGCTGACAGAAGACAATCACATCCACATATTGTCAAACCTAAATGGAATAAACGTTGCATGAATAATGAAGTTTATTTAAAAAAGCAGAACATTTTTAACTACTTTATTACAAGTGAAATTAACCTATAAGATCCTGTGCCTTGTTACCCAAAAATTCACCACGGACTATTACACGAGTTCCAGGAGGACCTTCTTTTGGAGATACGCCCGTCACAACCGGAGGAGGACCCATCTCCCTGATTATATTTTAATACAAAATTCTTCTATCTTTGTACAAGTAAATATCGATTACACATAATTTTAACCTTAGTAACTTAGTTAGTGTATCTTGTGTTCAGATATTTTTACTTATAACACATCACAGATACACTTCATCTTTTTAAATTATAGTTCTTTTAAAATCAACATCACACAATACTATTGAAAGGATAAGAATATGGGTTAAATCGAGCCACGGTTTCTGTAAACGACGGCCAATAATCCAATGACAGAAATGACAACTGATATCCGAGAGTGGGAGGTAGATAAGTTTAATTAAATATATGAAAAGGAAACATAAATTTATGGTGAAGATACTTGCTTATACAAATTTGCTCTGTGATTAATTTTTATTAAAGACACGGTAAAAAATTATACATAAAACGATGGGAATTGTGATGCAATTGTAATTTCTATATATGAACGTTTAAATCGTCATATAAAATAATTCATTTGACTAATTACATAAAACGTTTTAATTATTTGTTTTTAGAGTTGAAATTTGTTGAAATGATATGCTTTTATTCAGAATTTTAGATAGAAATAATTCAAAGTAGGTAATTATTTAAATATAAGAATTCAAAATCACTGATCATTTCCAGATTTCCAGTTACCCCATAAGTGCACGGATAATCATACAGTGGCATATACGATTAAATATTTTAATTTATTTCAAAGAAATAGTGTTTATTTATTATTAAATACATATGCGTCCTTCTATAGATACATTTATATATATATAATAAACCATAATAAACAAAAGGTTTTGCGCATGCTTGTCTAAAAGGATAGAATGCATAGAAAGATGACATTGACGACAATAGTTGCATCGGATGCACCAATGTTGATTGAAATTAGGCAAGCGTTGTTCATGAGAATTCTTCTTTATTTGTAATCGATTGATGCGCCATCTCCGGAATACAAGGAGGCAATGCTAGTTAGTGCGCATTAGTGCGTCTGCCGATCACAGAGTATAGTCGAGTTTACCTGCCAAACGTGTATCTATGATTGCTCAAGTTTGTATACTCGTGCCATCCTTGCTGTTGTATTTCGCCAATTTTTGTGGAATATTGAGCTTGGACGGAAACACGAAGTATCTGGATTCTTTCCATAAGTGCGCATTAAGAGAGAAGTTATGGGGGACGCAGCGATGAACGTCGCAGCGTCCGGTGGCGGCGGTCAGCGTGTCGTTAAAGAAGGCTGGCTGCAAAAACGCGGTACTGCAGAGCACTTTCATAATATTTGTATTTACTTTATCGTTTTATACTAAGCTGATCAGTGATATGAAATTGAATCACTCTTTCTTATATTCACACCTGATGTTTTAAATTATGCGATTCCCTGTTTAAGAAGATGTCAAAATTACATTCATTGATGTCCTTTGAAGAGATATTAGATATAATTTTTTTTAAATTAGTCCCTTCATTTTTGCGTCCTTTCGTTTTATTTCGTTCACGTTAAATGTTATTATTTTTGTAAATAATTGAAGAAAATTATTGGTAGAGACAATTAATAATTCAAACTTTATTTTTTATGTATAGGTGAACATATAAAAAACTGGAGGTCAAGGTATTTTGTTTTAATGGATGACGGTACACTGGTTGGCTTTAAAGCTAAACCGGATCAACAAATGGCAGCTTCTGCACAGCCTTTAAATAATTTCACAGTTCGCGGATGTCAGATCATGTCTGTAAATAGACCTAAACCTTATACTTTTGTAATAAGAGGTTTACAATGGGCAGCTGTAATAGAAAGAACCTTTCACGTAGAAACGGAACAAGAGAGAGAAGATTGGGTTGCAGCTATTAGGTTTGAATCTTTTGGATGTCACAGTCGCAAAGTTCAAGTTTCCTTAAACAATATCTAAAAAATTTCTTTTCCCAATAGGTATGTAGCTGCTAGACTGGCAAGCGAAAAAGAAACCCAAATGCAACATTCGTCTTCATCGGAAGATGTTGATATGGAGTCTTCAGGAGTCGGTAGGTCAGATTCTTGCGGATCTGTTGGTGTAGTGTCTTCAGATACGGATGGTGGTAGTATCGATGAATTGTCCGCAAAGTTTAGTGTTCAAGGAACCTCGAATAGTAAAAGTACAGGGAAGAAGAAAGTAGTATGTGTACAATTGTTACGGATTACTTTGTTCCTTGCAATGGAAGGATCGACTTGTTCTAATATTTGGATAAACTTTTATTTCAGACCCTTGAAAATTTTGAATTTTTGAAAGTTTTGGGGAAAGGTACGTTTGGAAAGGTGATACTTTGCAGAGAAAAAGCAACGGGACACTTATACGCTATAAAAATATTAAGGAAAGAAGTGATCATTCGTAAAGATGAAGTTGCGCACACGCTTACCGAAAATAGAGTATTGCGTACCACTAATCATCCGTTCCTAATTGTACGTATTTCCGTAGGTTATTTCATCATTTTTCAATTAATTTTATTGCTAATTTATATTTAACGTTTATTGATTTACAGTCTTTAAAGTATAGTTTTCAAACAGCAGACAGGCTGTGTTTTGTAATGGAGTACGTAAATGGCGGGGAGTTATTCTTTCATTTAAGACGTTCGCGCGTGTTCGGCGAGGATCGTACTCGATTTTATGGCGCTGAAATAATTTCAGCATTAGGCTACCTTCATTCGCAGGGTATAATTTATCGTGATCTCAAACTAGAAAATCTTCTCTTAGATAAGGATGGACATATTAAAATAGCTGACTTTGGATTGTGTAAAGAAGATATAACGTACGGTAAATACGGCGTGTAAATTGAAGTAGAACTGTTTTGAGTGTATAAAAACATCGAAAAGTATCGATAACGAACTTTTAGGAAGGACGACGAAAACATTTTGTGGAACTCCCGAATACCTTGCGCCGGAAGTGCTCGAAGACAATGACTATGGAAGAGCAGTAGATTGGTGGGGTGTTGGTGTTGTTATGTACGAAATGATTTGTGGTCGATTACCTTTTTATAATAAGGATCACGAGAAGCTTTTCACGCTTATTGTAATGGAAGAAGTAAGATTTCCTAGAACGATCAGTAATGAAGCGAAAGATATGCTTGGTGGTAAGTAAAAATATTGTACATTGATCTTCATCCGGTGAAAAGTAAACGGCAAATATTTTATTTGATCTTTAATATTCGTTTGCAGGTTTACTTATAAAAGATCCAAGTAAAAGATTAGGTGGCGGACCCAACGATGCGAAAGAGATTATGGATCACGCATTCTTTTCGTCGATCGATTGGTCCGATCTTGTACAGAAAAAAATTCCTCCCCCTTTCAAACCTCAAGTTACTTCTGACACGGATACCCGATATTTTGATAGCGAATTTACGGGTGAAAGTGTTGAACTGACGCCGCCTGATCAGGGCTTCTTAGGGAGTGGAGGTGGTTTAAATTCGATAGCTGAAGAACAGGAACATTTTCCTCAATTTTCGTATCAGGAAAATCACCCAGCAGCAACTTCTCCCATTGTTTCTATTAATCACTGACAGTACCAAGCGTTTCCTTTATTTGCGTATTGAAAAGCATGACTAAATGCATGGAAAAGTCAAAGACACTCGATCGCGAAAAGTGATTTGTCTAACAGTTTGGAAGAATCTTTCTTTCTTTTTTTTTTTTTTTTTTTTTTTCCTTAAGCAGATAAATCGAAATATCAGTTTTCGCTAATTTACGATGCTTTTTTGTGCATCTTCGAAAGATTTTAACACATATCTCCGATGGCAGATTCGCTTGTACACGTGGTATACGTGCGCGTATACGTGCATTCGTTAAAATTGTACATGGAAAAATAATGTACTATAAGATTCAACTATTTATACCTGCTGAGTAGGTCGCGACGATATAATTTTTGTTTAAGAAAAAGAAAAGTGGAAAAAGCAAAATAAGAAAAACGGAAATTAAGTATATCCCCTCAATTATGTTATGTTATACAGAGTGGCACATTTCTTTTGCGAAAGAACGATATTATCATAGTTACAGTTCTGTGTTTAACAAAAAAAAAGAAGAAAAATATGGTATTTAAAACTTCCTGGCTTCATTGTCAACTCTGTTGATAATTTATATAGAAGGGCAGTTCCTGGTTACTTTTTTTTTTTTTTTTTAAATTAGTCAACTGTTATAGCAGAAACCAAAATAGCAAATTATACTTGGCAAGGAGTCAGTCAATGGGCAAGTGGTTTATCCATTTTGAAAGTAGAAGCATAGAAACATTAACAGCTTTAAGTGAACTATTATGTAAATTTAAAATCGATTTTTAGCATCGAAAGAAAGCGTTTCTTTGTTATACTAGCGCTATTGAATTAGGAAATTTTTCTTCTCCCTTAGTGTGGATCGCGTTATTCATCATGTATCATTGACAAATAATGATTTACTGTGAGAATCAGATGGAAATATGAAATGCTACCCTAATATTATATTATTAATATTATATGCTACGATGATTATACATATATATATTTATATTTTAACAATTAAAGGATTATATTGTACGCATGGATTATTAATAATTTCCATCTCATTTGTAATTAGTAAATTTGTGTAGTTTATTCGTTTTTATGCAAGAAAGAATAAGGTGAATTTTCTAAAAGTATACACAATGTCAATTGCTTGAAATTAACAGATATACCATTTTGTTATTTACCATAAAAGAATATGGTGCATTATTGAAGAAAAACGACAGAAGACGTTTACATAATATTTCAATTAATATTTCCTAAATTATACTTTATATTTTATTTGCAAGGTAATCTAAATTGTACGCTGGTAAAATATCGTCCTTCACGAGCCAAATTTGATCCAAAACAGCACCCTCCTTGTCGTCCGATACCTAGTATCAAAAACATTGTAAATTAAATAATGAACATTCCCGTTTCTTCCAAAGTATTTAGTACCTGCTCGAGATAAAGATGAGTCAAATTATATGCTTTCATTCTTGTATATCCATAATCCGCACTACGATACGCGGACCACTCCGGTCTCTGTGGAACAAACTTTTCTCTACCTTCTTTACACCCCGCTGATCCAGTTACTATGTGTACAGGTGCCTTGTAATTCTTATATGGTTCCTCATAACTACCATTTTGTACCTGTAATTATTTCTTCTTATTTTTCTCACTATTGGTTAAGTTTATTTTAAAAAGTATGTTTGCATTACCTTGAAGTTGTACATGGGCCACATACGCTCATAACTATGTTCGTGAGCCCACAATAATAAATCTACTTTATACTTAAAAAAGAGATCTTCAAGTGCGAACCAATTTAAAAACGGTAATCCAACTCTGACAAGACTTTGGTGATTGGTGCAATCATCAGCATTCGCATTACTACAGTACATTGGTCTGTGACCAAATGTTACTATCCATGGTCGTTGCATTCTGTACATAATTGTTGTTCATTTTTACTCAAACATAATAGAAAAGAAGAAAAAAATATGAACTTACCTATTCTTAGGCATATTTGCTTCTATTAAATCTTTTTCTAGCCACTGGTACTGTTTAACAAGTTGCTTTATACCATAATTCATAAAGTAATAAGCTTCAGTTTCTATAGCTATGAAGTGAACAGGTCCAACATTAAAACTGTACCATAAGCCTTCGCTATCTCCAGGCATCGTAAAACGGGCTCTGCCAAAGTTACATTAATATTAATAGGATTATAAACGAATTGGTTAGTAATCTAACATTTAAAATGCATTCTGACCTGTAATTACTAAAATTATACTTTTCTTCATGATTACCAGGTACTGTCATATAAGGTAAATAAGCAGCAACACCTTCTATTTGTTTCATAAATTCATCACCGACGTGTGCATTATCAGTGTCCATATCATATGCAAAATCTCCTACATGAATTGCTGCATCGTATAGTCCACGTTGTGCTTCTTCCTGCAATCTTGACAAACTCTGAGCATTTTCGTTACCCATGTCACCGAATATAACAATTTGTGGAGACCATTCTGCCGAGTCTTTAGGAGCAGTTTTTACATAGAATACATTTGACCATCCGTATTTACTACCACAATGATAAACTGTTCAAATAATTTAAATAAAGGATTAAGCAAATAGTCCCGACATAAAGGGATGCACTATAAAAAATTATACTTACGGTATTTACTATTGGGTGTTAAATTTTTCAACCATACTCTATGGATGTATTGTTTTTGTTTTTCATCTCCACCATCAATAAATAGAGTGGAATTTCCTGTCGCTGTAAGAATTAATCCTTCTACTCCATATTCCACGATTGATTCTTCTGTATTGTTTCTGGTACTCCATGTCACAACAATATCATGAATATTGTCTTAAAGAATATATCAAGTTAATTTTTTTGACAAACCTTTCGTCATTCTTTTGATGATGAATATACATAGAATAACAGTATGAAAAGGAAATATAATAAGTAAAATATGGTGCATATTACCTCCATAGGCAAGATGCACAGCTTCAGGTTGATAGTAAATAACGTTGCACAGTGTGACAGAGATTAAGGATAAAATAACGAATCCAACGATCAAAGCCATTTTATTATAACTGACAATGTAAATTACATCTGACGTTTATTAGTCACAATAACAGTCGATACATATATAAATATAATATGTATATCTTGTGTGTACGCAAACGATCTCCGTTTTTCAAGATTTCACTGTATTTATACTACGCTATAAGGAAACACACTGTGTTCTTATTTTCGATGAACAAAGAGTCGTAATAAATATGGACTTATCACTCATGATCGAATGTCAAAAACAATGACTCAAGCATTATCGAAAAACTGTTATCGGTTGCGTTGTATGTACAGTTATTTATGTATCACAGTTCGCAGTATAGACTGTTAAACTTATTAATTGTAAAATATGTTTTGTATTTGTAATATTGTAACAAAATCAGAAATTTGTCCTCATTGATATTTAAAATCGTTTAGCTTTTTACTATCGACGAAGCATTTGTAGAGTTATGTTACGATCCGAAATTATATAATAGCGCCATCTCGAACTACGATGGTAATTAGTTACAGTTTGATGCACATTGCATTTAGAATATTCAGGAGTTTAAAATATTCAATAAACAGCAAATATCGGGTGAAAATATTTAAAACATTTTTATTCGTACAATCTAAATGTTAGATTCGAGTAAATAATTCAATTATCTAAACGTAATACGAACAGGGAAGATGGGATGGAAGAAGAATTTTACAATAATTGTATGAAAATTTAAGTTGAACCAGCTGATATTAATCACGTAAGATGAAAGGTGAAAGCTGAAAGGAACTACATAGCTCGAGAACTGTACAAGCAATTACAGAGTTAGCATCCCCTATATTGATCACGCGCTGTGTCATTTCTTTCTCCGTCTTTCTCTCAGAGAACTCTGATTTTCCGACGCACGTGCGCGGACACGTTTTTCCATATTGAATATATGTATGTGAGTACATTCATCGAACATCATCAGCTCACGTTTCTATTTTATTAATTTTAATCGTCGCGATTGTCCTTCCAGCATTAAAATATATTCGCGATTTGAATAAGTGCTATCGAATGTTTGACGTTATTCGAAAAAAAAAAAAACGTTATGGATGGATAAAAGGTGGATAAAAATGAAAGTAAAATTTGTATAAAAAATGAAGAGCATTTTATTGATGAATCGACAATGCAAGTAATAAAAGCAACGGTGCGGTGGAGGATTGGCAACTCGAAGATGGAGGGGTTACCGCCACGAAAGTGACGACGGCGCCGTGTTTAGCTGCTACTGCCGCCGCTTCGCGGCGAGGGATGGAGATTACCGGACGACGAGCGATGTCAGGGCTGCTGCCGCCGTCGGTTAACACGCACAGGTTCACACCCATCCTCGCCGATACCTTAAACCTCTCTGACATCGCGGGAAACGAAGAGGATCGCTTTCGATCGGCGGAAACTATTGTTGTCGGATTTCGGTGAATAATCGATTTGATCGTAGTGCGTATCCAGATCGGTGAAAATAATTGCGATCGGGCAATAGAAAAAAGTGTTGTAATGTGCATCGGACCAGAGTAGGGTGGTCGAATTTGCTGTGATGGTTCGCGCGATCTTGAAACAGAATCGAAGTAAAAGGAGAGAGAGATAAATAAGGAGAGATGTTAAGGGTGTATAGAATTTAGTAAACTCCGAGGGAATATTTAGTGTGTAAGTACACGTTAATCGTTCGAGTGAGAAATTCATCTTTGGTCCTGCGTGCAATTGGGATGTCGTAAGTGTCCTTCCTAGAGGGTGGGCGGAAGGGAGAGTGGAAGGGTGGGAGAGGAAGAAGATAATTCAGACAGGAGCGAGAAAGGAAGAGGGTAGAGAATTGCATATGGGTTTTCGACGTTGCAAGAGAATGTGTTTCGTTTAGTGTTATCGAGGTTCCTTCTTGGAGTGTGTGCGTATAATCGAAACGACAATAAGCGATGAGGTTAGCCGCTGAGAATTTCGCCTCTTCGAATCGGGGCTCGTTTCACGGATGCCACTCGGAAAGACCCATGCGCTCAAGGATGCAAGTAATCAGGATGAGCGAACCGAGCGAGGAGTCGCATTCAGTGAAAGCTGTAATCGATAAGCTTGGGCTCGAGAGATTCTGAACTCTGTGATCATTTGTGGAAGGCGACATTGTTACAAGGATGTAGGGGGGCCCACGCTCGGGGCCCCGGTGAGGGTTTCCTCCGAACTCTTTTCACGTTCACCTTCGTAGAAGAAAAACGGAGTCGTGTCAAGCGACTTTTTAGGACTTCCTTGCGTATATTAAAGTGCATACATTACGTATAATTAACACGAGACAAGAGAGATCGTTTCTCCAACCGGAAGTAACAGTCTAAACCTGTTTATCGAAAGGAATGATCGACGCTTATTTTTAACAATTTAACGCAATTCTCTTAAGGAATACCCCGTCGATAATCTTCTCGTCGTTTGTAGTCGTTAATATCGGTGTACGTGGATGCAACAGCCTTAGTAATTGTTAGTGAAGTTTGAAATTCCCGCGCGACTTTGGCGACCGTTAGTTCGAATCAACCGATCGAGAAACTGTGTTCGAAGTCTTCGAGGATGCGTTCACGTTTACAGAAAACGTAGGTGTTGCTAGCGGAAATATAGGTCGCCAAGTCGATAGTAGCATGGAACGCGAGGATGCAAGAGGAGCAGCGAAAAGAATGGGACGCGATAACGACGTTAATATCGGCGAATCATTTTTTCGGTGATGATGGGGCGGCTTCGTGTGTCGTCAAGTTTAATCGTGCACGTCGCGTCAAGATTCGACCGAAGCGTCGCTCTCTTCTAGTAATCGAGTAGACCAGCGTCTATCATAAAGACCAGCGAAAATGGTCGATTTAGGAGGATACATTATCATACTGATCAACCACAATGATAAGATCAAACTATATGGTGAGTATCGATTGCATCATAACAAACATAAGATCCATATATAAAATTTAATTTTTTATTAAATATTTCTTCATGATATAAGTATTCATTGCAAGATTCTAATTCCCCTTATTCTGATAATTTAATATCATTCCATAATTTTACCTTAATATTTATAATTGTAATTATTTCAACCACATTTTTTATATTAATAGATATTTTTAATAACAAATTTATTGTTTGTCACTGTAAAACGAGAAACTTCTTTGTTCCTGTTTAATTAGCACTGGCCTATATGGCTTAAGGAGTGCTACAATAGTTGCTCATTAAGCACGTACACGTTTAAACGTATTTTAGCTGTAAAATCGTTTTTATCTATCTTTATGTTTTGTTTTTTTTTTTCTTGGAAAACGATACCGCACGAAATTATTGACGTGTTTATAAATTATTAAATTTCCAATATTGTTTTATAATTGAAATTGGTATCGAATATGCTACAGGTTCACCGGCTGACAACGCGGACACGTTGGAAGTGGCCGATGAAATTTTACAAGTGAATGGTAGTACGTTGGAAAATGCCAGTCAATCCGAAGTCATTCAGTATATTTATCAGGTATCTCATACGTTTATTTATTTCTCCCACGTGTAAATATAATTTCTAATTATCGCAAACGTTAATTGGTCTGATATCGATCGATTAATCGATTAATCGTCTCTTGTCTTAGTGTATCGAATCGCGAACGATATGTCTGCGAGTGCGGAGGAGAAGCGGAAACAAGATGGGTGAGTGTTTTTCCAAAACGTTTGTTCTCTAATTTCCATTAGTTTATAAAAATGTTGTCAGTTAATGCGGATTTACAAATAGCAAGTAAAAAACTACATAAAATCGTTCGATTACACGTAATGGCGCAGTTAAATTGAGTAACAGGGGTTGGGGATCGAACATCGAGTTGATCGCTACCGAGTTTCGATATTAGGATCGATAGTTTCGCCAGTATGGCGGCAACACTTGTCGAAGAGGACAGCTTTTCCGTAGTGATTCTCAAGAATAGGGAGTTTCTGTTCAATGTTCAATGCGATTTAACATTTTTACAAAGTAATTAACTGTCTTCTCAATTGAATCGTTCGTGTTAAAGTTATCCTCGGTGGAATCGTAGTTCTTCAGGATTTAAACCGTACGGTTGCGTGAGAGATCGGCCGATTTCGTATTACCTCGTGCGGTTCCGGCGTTCGCCAGGTAAACGTTCAGGTCGTCGCTTGTATGTACCAGTCACGATAGAAGGGCGGAGGGGGCAATGGGAAACAGTGAAGAGAACTCGGCGAGAGGCAAACAGCACATTCGAACCGAGGGAATCTAACCTTCGAATGTGTCCGCTGTCATGCTCGGTTCTCGCTAGTACGGAACCGTACATACGTGCCAGCGGTTCCGCGAGATTCCGCGCGCTCTTACCGTCCTCCTAACCTCTTGTCTTTTCCGCGTGGTTGCCAGTGGAATTTTCGCAGGACGTTTCACGGTAGCGGGTTCCTTTCGCCAAACCAGGAAGCATCCTTAACCCGAGTGTGTTTACAGTGTAAAAGTGTGCGTTTTGTTCGCGGATTCGTGGTGGGTTTCCCAGTGCATTCGTGGCCGTTTCTGTGTCTGTCTGTGAGCAGCGTACTACGCGGTTGTCTTACCGGTCGAGGGAACCGGGACGACGAACCAGATGGCAGCTGGGTGCGCCGACGTATCTTTTAGGATTCTGAGGATGCGAGATTACCGAGCTCCAGAATCTTTCCACGATCTCTAGTTGTTTACCGTTAATCGTCGATCGCAGTCGAGAAGGTGCCGTCGATACGGAAGGTGATTGCTTCTCCTTTCTTATTCATTTCTTTTTTTTTTTTTTTTCATTTTTTCTTCCTTGCCGTGTTGCTTTTTAAGGCCACGTTTCGTTCGTCCTCCGCTCGATTATTGCGCAATCAACGTTTGTTCCCCCGCTCGTGTTATACGGGTCGTATCTCTCTGCGAACGAGAGAAATGCGTTTTTGTAGAGTCGTTCGTTCGTTCGGCGGAGGACGAGACGCGAGGCGCGCGGCGGTGCGACAATGTGTCATCGTTACGTGACACGTTAACGGCAACGTTTCCGTCCGCGAAAACGGAGACGAGGAATCTGTCGCGATTGCAATTTCTTGCTTAGCCCGGTGATCGGTGTCGTCTGCGAATTAGGATTCTTGCTAACGAGAGCACCGGTTCCTTCGCTACTCGAGCTGGAACAAAGGTAAACTATTGAGTATCGTCGGTAAATCGAACCATCGAAACGAGTTCCATTCGTATCAGCGAGGAAAAGGAATCAAGCTGCGTTCTTTCTTCGTTCCATCTCCCCCCCTCTCTCTCTCTCTCTCTCTT